CTTATGCCGCTGAGCTAAATCCCCAGCCTCCTTTTCATGATCTATTTAGTGCCACTCTCCCTTTTTTGGAATTGTGTTGGCAATTTTGGGGGGTACTAGGACTCAAACTCAGGACCTCACACTTGCCAGCAGGTGTGCCGCCGTGCTGCACCCCCGGCTTTGTTGGTAATTCTGCAGTCTGACAGGGAGGCAGTGTCCTCGTGGGGCTGGCAGGTGTGCCACCCCTCAGTGCTTTCCCTCCATTCTCTGCGGAGCTTGAGCTGCTCTGGAGAGAGGTTACTAATTTAAAAACTCCCAGGTTACTAATGTAAAAGCTAGGTGTGGTGGGGCGCACAAAGTCAGTTACCACAGTTTCGAGGTCAGAGTGGGCTCCATCCACAGTGAGCCCAGTGGCAGCCTAAACTAAACGGTGAGACCCTGTCTCAAAAACCACCACCAGGACAGAACTAAAAATCAAGTTTCCTAGTGCTGAAGTGCTGTCTACAAAGACAGGAGTGCTGGGAGTTAAGAAGGAGAGGGAAACTAGGGCATGATCTTTGTAAGCTGGAGCAAGGGCGCTTCCTAAATAAGATGTTTAACAAGGCAAAGTAAAGAAACAACGGACAGATCTGACCGCTACGTGCATGGAAAAGGCACAGAATCAAAACCTCTAACACACGGTGAGCTCCTGCTTCATGAGAAAAATTCTAGACGGGAAGAGAAAATGAACATGTAGTTCACGGAAAAGTAAATGGCTCAGAACATGAGGAGCCAGCCGGCCTCGGGGCCACCGCAGGGACGAGGCACCGGGAGACCCAGAGCCTGTGGGAAGAAGCCCGACTCCGCCGGCCTCAGACCCCAGGCTTCCTGCCTCCCGGCCCTGCAAGCAGATGCTGCGGGCCACCCAGCCAGCGGGGTCTCCTGGGCGTTCCGACGCTCATCAGAGCGCCACGCCAAAAATGTTAGTTACGTAAGTGCTCCTCTGTGAGCGCAACCCAGGAATCTCACACATTCTCATTCTCTCTCTCTCTGTCTCTCTCTCTCTCTCTCTCTCTCTCTCTCTCACACACACACACACACACACACACACACACAGATCTGAACAGAAACAGAAAAATTTCGAAACCAAGTTTGTCTTGGGTGTCTTGGGTAGTAGAGGAGCTAGCAGCGTAGAGCTTAGACTCGTAGACATTTACTTAGCACGGGAGTGGCGGGGTTAATGCTCCCTGAAGAAGGAAAGAAGGAAGGAAGAACAAAGGAGGGAGGAAGTCAGAGGGAGGAGGAGGAAGAAAGAAAGAAAAACTGACAGAGGAAAAGAAAAGAAAAAGTGAGCAAGCCTGCTACCTCTAAAAAAAGCGGCTGCACCTTAAACTGGCGGTGGTGGTGCCCACCTGTGTTCCCAGCACTCGGGAGGCGAGGCAGGAGCGTGGCCAGTTCAAGGCCAGCCTGGACTACACGATGAGACCTGCCTCAGAACCCGCAGAGGTGGGGATGCAGCTCAGCGGCACAGCACCTGCCTGGCAAGTAAGACCACCGCCACCAGCAGCAAAGATTTATGAGGCCGGGGAAAAAGAGAAAGAACCGAGAGCGAGGGGCGGGGCGGCTGTGGGTTAATGAGGAAGGCCGAGGCAGGCGGCAGCAGGCAGGGCGCGGCCGGGGAGAGCGCCCAGGAGCTCCTCAAGGCTGGTGGCCACAAAGAACTCTACCTCCGGGGCCTGGGGTGCCAGAAGAGAAAGGCCAGGGTGACCCACAGAACCCCAAACCTGCCAGGAAGCGGCCCCTGGGCACAGTGTGCAGCCCTCGGGGTCTCGGCAGAGGGAAGGTCTCAGACTGGGTCATGGCTGCCCAGGCTTCTACGGTGGCTCTTGCCCTCTGTGTCTCAGTGTGCCCGTCTGTAAAGTGGTCAGCGTGCCAAGCCCCTTCCTCGGGGCTGCCGTGACGTGATGTGCCGCTACCAGAAAGCCCTGTGAGGACACCGGTCCTCGAGGGCACAGGGGGCACAGATGGCAGTCACCGACGTGTGCCCCGAGCGAGGATTCCTGCAAGGCCAGTTGGCACTCCTCACCCGGAGGCTCTGCACACTGGGATGTGCTGGTTCATGCCTGTAATCCTAGCACTTTGGGAGGCTGAGGCAGGCAGACTGCCGTCCTGTCTGAGCAACTGTCTCCAAAAAAACCCCCCAAAACAAAAAACAAACGGGCTAAGGATGCAACTTAGTGCAAAGGCCCTAGGTTCGATCCCTAATGGCACACACACAGAAAAGGACTTAGAATTTAGGAGCAGGACGCCAGTGTCAAGTGAGCTGCAGGATGTGGGGTGCAGATAAGACCGGAAAGCTTCCTACCTATTTAAATTACAACTTAGAGCAGGAGCAGTCAGGGTCTCCTGCCTTGACCGTATTTGGGAACTAAGTGACCCAAGGGCAGAGAAAGTCCATGCCACCAGCCAGGTCCGCTACCCTGTCTCATGTGGCAGAGAATGAGGCTGCCATGCGGGGAAGCCAACAGCTTAACATCTCCCCCACCTGCTGTGAGACCCCACGGGAAAACTCGCAGAGCCTGCTGGCAGTGGTGAGTGGCCCTGCCCTCAGAGGCCGAGGCGGGGTACGGAGTCCAAGGTCAGCCCAGGCCACAGGAGAACAAAGTCAGCCCAGACATGCAGAGACCCCGGCTCAGAAGGAAAGAAAGCAGCTACAAACTTCCTTTTTTGAGGTCTGTTGATGGTATTTCAAAAACAACCCTCCTGATAGATGTGAAAAAGTTGGGCCGGAATTTAAAATCTAAATATTAGTTAAAAAAAAAAACAAAAAACCAAAAAACCCAGGAACCCAAGATGCCGAGCTCTCATCTCATGTCCCCTCCTCTGATTCTGATAGAAGTCAAGTGTCTCCTTGACTTCTTCAAGTGCACAAAAATAGTTTCTAAAGGAAACCCAATCTAAGTTGATTTTTATGACTGATTAGGTCTTGCTTTAAAGAATAACATAGGGCTGGGGATTTAGTTCCATGGCATAAGCACCTGCCTGGCAAACTCGAGGTCATGAGTTCAATCCCTGGGAACAAACAACAAAAAAAAGTAACATTATGACTACAAAGCTTAGCTTAATGTAGTACTTTTTTTTCTAAAAACATCTTTTTTTTTTGTCTTTTTGAAACAGGGTCTCACCAGTTCAGGCTGGCCTTGGGTCACTTTGTAGCCCAGATGGGTCTTGAACTTCTAACAATGCTCCTGCCTCAGCCTCCCAAATGCTGGGATTACAGAGTGCGCTACCACACCCAGCTCTAAAAACGTTATTTTGAGAAAGTTACCCTGGATCATAAAGATTTCAGAATGGGGTTATATAAAACACTCTTATTCCATTGTGAATTTTTGTTTTTGAGACAGGGTCTCATACTGTGTAGTCCAGGCTGCTCTTGAACTCCACCTGTGTCAGCCTCCTGGGTGGCAGGATTACAGGCTGCACCACCATGACTGGCTTCCATTTGCAATTTTAATGCACATGTCTCTTGCTTGGGAAAATGTGCTGTTATGGTTGATGTACTGTGTCAATCTGAGAAGTCTAGAAGTCTAACTGAGGACTCGGCAGGGAGCCAGGGTTCTTACTTTGTAAACATCCTCAGCCTGTGCAAGAGGAGGGCAGGGAGATTTTGTGAGTGCTACATTGCCCTGGAGGGCAGGGGTGACCTGTGAACAGTGCAAGGGAGGAAGAGTGGCATGCTCTGCCCCACTTTGGCAGGCTGCTGCCTGAAGTGTTACCCCTCAGCCAGGCCACCCTGCCTTGGAGCAGCTGATTACGGACTGAAACCTCCACAAACAGTGAGCTAAACAAACCTTCCCTTCCTTCATTTTGGGAGTCCAGTATTTTGTCCCAGCAAGGAGAGAAAAGTAACCAAGACAATCACCACAAAAGGGGCTGGGGCACAGCTCAGTGGTAAAGCACACATGATGTGCTGAGTTTGAGCCTTAGCATTAAAAAGGGGAAAAATTCCATTCTAAAAATTCTCCAAACAGGGCTGGGGGTTTAGCTCAGTGGCATAAGCGCCTGTCTTGCAAGCAGGCAGGCAGGCAGTCGTGAGTTCGCTCCCCGGTACCGATAAAAAGGAAAAAGACCAAAAAAAAAAAGTAAGTTTCAAGACTTATCACATGCTACTTTATTCTCAAAAGAAAATGTCTCAAATGGTCAAATGGTCTGTCAGACTGAGAACTCCTGTACTGCTGTGGCTGCCCTGTTACTAAATTTAAGTGTTTTGAAATTCAGTTTACTGGCAAAAGTGGTATGTCACTGAGTACTAAGTTAAATAAACCGAGGCAGGGGCTGGGGATTTAGCTCAGTGGCATAAATGCCTGCCTGGCAAGTCCAAGGTTGTGAGTTTGATCCCTGGTACCAACCAAACAAACAAAAAATAAACCATGGCAGTTGAGGGAATGGCATGTACCAGCACGACAGGCTAAGGACTGCTAGACCAGGGTCTGTTCAAAGTGAGCCGGCTTCAGACACTTTCAGCAAATCGACAGCTGTTTACTAAATATTCCTCGGGGACAGGGTTCCCCCAAGAGCAGAAAATACATAAGGATACTGTCAGAGCCCCCTACAGGCACTGATCCCCAGCACAGGGGTTCACATGCCACCAGCTGTGTTTGCCGGGCAAACGTCTTAATTTCTCCAAGCCTCAGTTTCCCCCTCTGCAAATAGGGATGATAAAACCTGTCCTACAGTTAGTGGGGTCTGAATTAAAGAAAACAGTATCAAGAAGGCGTCTCTTATTAGATATCAGTAACCATTACCTCCTCCCTCATCAACCCCATGAAGGTAACGCACGTCAGAGGTGGGGATGGCACGAGAAGAGGGCAAGGTGTGCTGCGTGCCCATAAACCCCACTCTTGGGGGGCTGCCCAGAGGGTTGTGAGTTCAAAACCAGCCAGGGCTATGCAGCAACACCTTGTCTCAAAGGACCAAAACCGCAACCACAACCCAAACCCAAAGCCACATAACCGAGTCCAGCAGGCGGGAAGGGCGCCTACCGGCCAGCTGCCTGTCCTCCTCTGTCGCGGGCAGCACGGCAGCCTTGCTCTCGGGCAGGTATTTCTTGGTGATGGGTAGGGACAGCAGGCGGATGTGGCGGATGAGCGTGTGCCAGGGGTGGGCCCCGGCCAGTGTGGGCTCGGGCGCCAGCGGGCTGAAAGGCTGGATCACGAAGTAGGCGGCCAGCAGCACTAGGCCGAGCGTCAGGAGCGCCTAGAGGGAAGGCGGGCAAGGGTGAGGGTCAGCTCTGATCCCAGTGGACAGGAGGGGACGCCTGGGCACAGAGGAGCAGGCCTTTCCTGCTGTCTCTGTCGGCCTTCCCTAAGCCACCAAGGCATCAAAGTGAGAACTGTGAGGCCCGGAGGCTCCTAGTGGACCACAGTGGGCTGAGTCCACCACTTACAGCCACACAAATACAGCTCCATTACAAAGCCACAGCTTTCAGCTGGGCGCGCCTGGAAGCTGGGAGGCTGAGGCAGGAAGATCACTGAGAGCTTGAGGCCAGCCTGGGCTACAGAGTGGGTTCAAAGCCAGCCTGATACATAGCAAGACAGTGTCTCAAAAAGAAAAGAAAAGGAAAAAGAAAACCTAAGGCTCTACAGGAGGATGCTAGGGTGTGGGTTCTCCCCAAGCCTGGGCGACACCTTTGTACCTTATACACAGCGATGAGCACAGGGTACTGGGCCGGCCCCCTCTGGGGCTCGTTCTTTTCCAGTAGCTGCCTGATGAAATTCTCGATGGCCTTCTCTGACATGCCACACTGATGGCCGGTCTGTCGCACCAAGTCAACAGTCTCTGATAGTTTGTCATAAATGCTGAGTTCGTTAGCAGCAAAATCCATGTCTTCCAATTCGAAATCCCTTCAGGAAAGAAAAGGAACATCAGAGGAGGGCCGTCTCTTCAAAGTCCCTCCTCCTTGAAGGGCCTTCCTGTGACCGTCCCCAGCTGAAGGCATCAGAGCAGGGTTTGAAGACAAAGACTTTTATTAAACCCAGCGAGGATGCTGGCCACTGCCGTAACGGCAAGCCGTTGTATGTACAATGGTTTTTCATTATTACTTTTTATTTTGAGATGGTCCTGGCTATGTTACTAGGGCTGGTATCAAACGCTGGGAAACAAATGGTTTTCCTGCCTCGGCCTCCAGAGTTGCTGGGAACATAGGTGAGTACCACTGGCACTGCCAGTTTCCATACTAGTCCCAGCCCCTCATAGCTAAGGGCCGGCCAGAGTGTGGGAGGTCCCTGATGGGACTGGTAATTTTTTTGGGGTGGTGGTGCTGGGATTGAACCCAGGGCCTTGTGCACAAAACACAAGAGCTCTGCCACTGAGCCACATCCCCAGCTCTCCCCAGTGGGGCTGGGACTTTGGAAACCAATCACAGATTTGTTACTGGTTTTTTTTTTTTAATGTATGGACCTAGCCTTGAACTCACTTTGGAGCCCAGACTGGCCTTGATTTTACAGTGATTTTCCTGTCCCAGACTCTTAAGTGCTGGGATTACAGGAGCTGGGCATCATGCCCAGCTGCTATTGGTCATTTACAAAATAAAAATAAACACGCTATGGTTTGTGTGTGGGTCTCCCCAAAGCCTCACCTGGTTATGAGAGGTGGGCTTCTCAGAGGTGCCTGAATCAACAGTGTGTGACTGATCCGAGGTCTAGTGCTGGGAGTAAGGGTGCGATGCCTTACCTGCCCTGGGGTACACAAGGTCCAATAAACAGGGCAGACAGAGACTCGTTCTGTCCCTGTCTTTCTGACTTTCCCTGTTTCCTGCTACTTCTGCTGTCTCCCGATGCTCTGGCTGCCAGGAGCTGTTGCCCCTGTGCCATGTGCCACCCTGCCTGTGAGCCACATAAACCTTTCCTCCTTTAATTCCGGGTGTCAAGTATTTTGTCTCAGCAACGAGAGAAGTAAGACAGAGCAGAACGTGATAATGGTATCGACTGATGACTTCCTGGCAGTTCTACCAGACAGATCCGCTGTGGGAGATGAGCTGGCTCAGGAGCTGCAGCTGCCAGAGCCAGGATTCGGACAACACGGAAGCACTGGGCAGGCTGAGTCCTCATCCTTCCCCACAAGTACAGCATCGGGGGTGTGGTGGTGTTATCCCAGCACTGAGGAGGCTGAGGCAGGAGGACCTCTGTGGGTTCAAGGCCAGCCTGCACTACACAGTGAGACTGCCTGAAAACCAAAACAAGGAACATAATGCCAGACCTCAAAGGTCATTTTATTGGTGTCTTAGATACTTAAAAAAAACCTAAAATCTATATGAATTTCAAAATTCAGTTTGTGTTCTCACAGTAACTCACAGTAACTTCACAGCCACTTTGTTGGCTGGTTTGTTTTTGACACCTGGTCTCGCTATGTGGCCCAGGCTGGCCTCGAACTCAAGGCATAGATAGGTGGTGGCTGTGACATTCCGGGCTCCATGTTCCCTACCAGAGTGACATGACTGTTGTCCTCTGCCCTACAGCAGGCAGCTTCTCCTCACTCAAAGAGCACATAGTGATTTCTGAGAACAGAAGCGCTTGGGGAATAAAATACGTGAAATAAGTGCCCCAGAAGAGCCCAGTGGAAGGCGGCATTGCTCTCCCTCTCCTATTAAGGTGGATGTTTACAAAGAACTGGCTGAGGGGGAGGATGGATGTCTCAAGTGAGTTCAAGGCCAACCTGGGCCACACAGTGAGAACTTGTCTCTAAACAAAGAAATTAATAATAAAAATACGGGGCTGGGGATTTAGCTCAGCGGCGTAAGCACCTGCCTTGCAAGCAGGCGGTCGTGAGTTCGATCCCTGGTACCGATAAAAACGAAAGACAAAAAAAAAAAAAAAAATACAACCCAGGCCAAAGTGTTCAAAAAGGCCCCAGCACTTGGGAGGTGGAGGCAGGAGGATTGTGTGTTTGAGGCCAACCGAGGCTACAAAGTGAGAGTTCTGTCTCAAAAAACAAGTCAAAAAAAGAAAAACAAAACATTTCTCGAAAAAGATGCACAGATCATTAGGAAGTGGAGGAAAAGAAGCCATGTCACCAGCCATGAGAGAAAGGCAGGTCCAACATCACGTGAGACACCGCTTGTCCCACGGTGATGGCCTGAGGGGGGCAGGGAAGGGCCCCGGGTTGAACTGGCAGGGTTCGAGGTCACTGGCGAGTGCCCCGGGCTGAGCTTGGTGAGCGCCTTCAAGAGGCTCCGTGGTGCAGGCCACACTGAGACAGGGGCTGCAGGGTCCGTGCACAAGGCGGATGAAGCAAGGGGAGGCCGGGCTGGGACCCCAAGTTCCGGCCTCTCCTTTCTCCACCGCGGCCATCACCCTCTGCCCTCGGGCTGGCAGTGTCTGCTTACTGAAGGGGTGAGCAGGACTAGGACAATGCCCCGTGAGGCCAGCGCGCTCCAAGAAGGAGCACAGGCACAGGAGGGTACTCAGGGTAAGAAACTGAAGCAAATGCCCTGCACCCGCAGTGGTGGGTATCGGCAGCACTCTGGCAGCTGCTCGAGGGCTCAATCTCAGACCTCTGCTCGGGGTCCATTCCTCCGTGTGAACCCGGGAGAGCTGAGCTCGAGTCCACATTAAAGACCTGGGCATTGGAGCCCAGCGTGGGGGCCAAGCCTGGCATCCCTGCACTCTAGGAGGCTGAGGCAGGAGAACTACAAGTGTAAGGCCAGCCTGGGAAAGATCCTGGCTCCAAACTTTAAGATGCATGCAAAAGGGCTGGGGATATAGTTCCACGCAAGGGCCCTGGGTTCAATCTCCAGCGCCATAAAAGTTTTTTTAAATAAAAACTAAAAGTGGGCTGGGGATGTAGCTCAGTGTGAATGCCCTGGGTTCAACTCTCAGTACTACAAAAAAGGTGATACTACACAACTCTGCAAATATATTAAAAGTCACTGAAAAAAACAAAAATAAGAACAAAAGACGGAGGCTGGGGATTTAGCTCACTGGCATAAGCGCCTGCCTGGCAAGCGCAAGGTCATAAATTCAATCCCTGGCACCAAATAAACAAACACAGGTCACTGAGTCCTAGAATTTGGGGTTTTTTGAGACAGGGTCTCATATGTAGCCCCTTGATCCTCCTGCCTCAGCCTCCCAAGTGCTGGGATTACAGGCATGAACCACCAGCTCCTCCGATTCATGTTGTAATCACATACCCCCGGTGAACTCTAACAGATGTCACCGGGCACAAAGTGAGTCTGAGACGTGAACCAGGAGAGCCAGGGCTAGAGACCCCTACGGGAAGAGCGAAGTGCTGACTCGGTGCTTCCCACGGTTGGGTTCTGTGACCACTGAGCCCAAACTGTCCTTACAAACCGGAGGCAGGTTTAACAGCCACACAGAGGGACAGTCTGGCATCGGCTGTCCCTTATAAACCCGGAACGCGGCACCATGGCTACGCGCGGAGTGGGCGGCTGGACGACCCGTGGCCAGCGGACAGTTTACCTCCGGGAGGAAGGTCCGGCTCTGGTGGAGGCGAGCGCTGCCCCAGGGGGAGGTGCGGAGGCGCCGGCTTCTGAAACCTGCAAGGCACAGGCTGGTCACCGGCAGTTAGGACATCCCTGCACCTCGCATACAGATGGACAGGGCCCCGCCCTGCAGGGGGACCCATTCCGAGCCCCCCGGGGATGCCGGACTCAGTGCCGGGTCTATATGTTCGTTCTCCTGCATGCAGAGGTCTATGGTAAACTACAGTAAAGTATTAATAACAAAATACAACGATTCTAACCTTATAATCTAAAAAGGGTTTATGAATGAGGGTCTTGTTACCAGGAACTGAAAGCAAGGCCTTGCGCTTGCCAGGCAGGCACTTATGCCACTGAGCTCTATCCCTGGCCTCTTTTTCTTTTTTTAGATAACGTGGTGCCATGTAGTCCAGACTGAACTTGGGGCAATCCGCCTGCGTCAGCCTCCTGAGTTCTGAGTTTACAGGCACTGTGCTAACACACTCAGCACTGTATTTTCACTTTGTCCCACACCGGTTTCCAGTATTATGTTAACTATGCACTATGGCATGCATTCTTTAAAGTTGTCACTCTGTTCCATTCTATTTTATCTCATGAAATTAATAGAAAATACATTCTGCTAAAGGGGGAAAATGTTCCCTGGCATGTAATAAAAATTATTAGGACAAGTTAAAGGGAAAAACAATAAAACGTTAAAATGATTCATATACAATTACATATATAAATAATAATTTAAAAGTGCACTAAGTGCTTAAAGTTAAAGCAAGGGACTGGGGATTTAGCTCAGCAGCATAAGTGCTTGCCTGGCAAGCTCGAGGTCGTGAGTTCAATCCCTGGTGCCAAGAAAAGACAAGACAAAAAAAAAGCAAGCCGGGGCTGGTGATGCACAATTGTGATCAGGAGGCCGAGGCAGGAGGATCACTGTGAATTCAAGGCCAACCTGGGCTAGAGTAGTGAATTCAAGCCCAGCCCATATTGCATAGTTGGATCCTGTCTCAAAAACAAACAAAAAAATCACAGTTCAGAGAATTTCACTGTTTCCCCACTTTATCATCCTTTGAATTTTTTTCACACCAGCCCACCATCTCAGCTGCAGACGCAATTTCTGTGCCTTTCCAAGCCCATCAGCATGGAGCTCCTAGGAGGCACGGTATTCTCTGTAGGGTTCATCAATCCCATTAAAACCGTAATTCTCTCCCACTGCCCAGTATTCAGACCATGGTCAAATTTCCCTAACAAGATCTTTTCAAAGATCCAGGATCCACCCAGCGATCTCATACCACATTCTCCTGCGGTGTCTCTCTCATCTACTTAATCTACAGTAAACGGTGGGGGTGCTTTGATTTTTTAAGGCTGACACTTTTGAAGGAGTCTCCACAGTTCTACACTTACCTCGATCTGCTCCTACCCTCAGCTCCTCCAGGTCCTACTATTAAAAAGTAAGCAGCAGCCTTCCCCTCTGTGGGTGCAGGCCTGCCTTCTCCCTCCCTGGAGTCCTGTCCTCAGCCCTGCCCCCACTGACCCGCTGGAGTCCTTCCTGTGTCGGCCCGCACTCTAGCAGCGCTGCTGAGGGTAGCCGTGGCTTCCAGGTGCGTTTGCATTATTTCCTTATCTGATCTCCTTGGCAGCTGCCACTGGGGCCCGGTGCCCAGTCCCGAGAGCTCTCAAGCCTTGGCATAACCCTCTTGCTCCCTCACCAGTGCTGGCGCACCCCGACTGCCCTGGACTCTCTTCCCACCCCTTCCAGGTCTCTAACCACCGGGTCTCCCTCCCGGTCATGCCTCAGGGTCCACCCTTTATCTACCTGCCCACTGACCCACTGGACGCTGCCGCTTCCTAGTGCCGGCCTGCCATCTGTCCACAGCTGGACTCTTATTTCCCCCTTCTGACCCGTTCCTCCTCCGGTATTCCTCTTCATGGGAACACTCCAAATGTTCTCCAAATTTAACAACGCTCCCCCAGCCGCCACTCAAAGGATCGCTAAGTCCTCTCCATCCTCACGTCCACCTCTTTCCCACGCCACACCAAGGGCCAGGGGAGGGCTCTCCACAGCTCTTCTGCGGGCTACTACACAGCAATTCACCTCTGCCTTCTGCCCACCTTCTCTGGCTGCCACCCACTACCTAGCTGTCCTGAAACACACACCAGTCACACTGAACACCTTCAAACAGGCCTGCCCTCTGCTGGGCACACGTGGACACTGGCCTTGGAATGAGTAAGAGCTGGGTACAAATCCTGGGTTTTTCCACATACAGAACAGCCCCAATACATACTACGGAGCCTAAGCCTGTAAAAGGATTATAAATGATATATATATAAAATACTTATTCCAGTATCAGGCATATTAAATATTCAGTAACTGTTACAAGATAAAGTCCAAGCTACGGGTGGTAGTGCCCTCCTGTAATCCAGTACTTGAGAGGCTGAGGCAGGAAGATCCCCATGAGTCTAAGGCCAACCTGGGCTACACAGTGAGCTCAGTGCCAACGTGAACTGCATATTGAGACCATCTCCCTTTCACAAGTACAATTTCCTTGGCCTCACACAGCTAGCTAGTCCCGTTTCATCCAGTAAGTGAATTTTGTGCGACTTCAGCCTCGATTCTGCCTTGTTTTTTTGAGGCAAGGTCTCCCTGTGTAGCCCCTGCTGGCCTCGCACTTGGGTGACCCTGCTGCCTCAGCCTCCTGAGTGCTGGGATTACAGGCGTGTGCCACCATGCCCTGCTTACACTCAGTTCTGATTTTGCCTTTTGCCCTTTCCGCCACTCTGTCACTTTGTATTACATGTTTCCCTGCCTCCCAGCTGTTTCTTGAAGGCAGAGATAAATGAAGGAAATAACACATAAAACAAAGACTAGACTTGGAAATTCCCTTCAGACACAGAACCTGACCAGATAAACAAATTTATACAAAGTACTTAAGTTTGTGGAGAACTGATCATTCTGCTGACAGTCATTGAATGTAACTGACAGTTTATTCGTTTCCTTGTCATTTATTCATTCATCTTTAATGCATTAACCCCTTGAGGGCTTGGTGGAGGTTAGGCACCTAGCAGCTGGACCTCCTTTACACGTCCTAAAGCAGCTGTGGGGAGCTGGGATCCAAACTGGGTCTTGAAAAATGTCCAAGGCTCAAAGAGTCCTAAGGGACAAACAGGGCCTCTTTCTGGCATGCAAGTCGGACTATGTGAACTTTCACTATGTGAACTTGCAAGGCAGCAGAGATGAACTCAGCAATTTTTTTTTGAGGCACCCTGTTCCTTCCTGGGAACCGCGACTCCTCAAAAACAAATGTACTAAAGGAGCAATGTCCATAGACCATTCCAGTGTGGAAACTGCCCAATGGGAAATAAGGTCAGCACACTAGGGAGAGGAGGGCAGTCTCTATTGTAAAGTGATTGATTGGTGATGGACTTATTTTGAGACAGGGTCTAGCTCCTTAATTCAGGCTGGCCTCGAACTCGCAAAGTTTCTCCTGCCTCAGCCTCTTGCGTGCCTGGATTACAGCCATGTGCCAAGATGACCGACTCCTGGTTATCTAATTTAAAAGTAATATATGTTTGAATACCAAGGCTCTGCAGGCACTTAGATCAGAAATAATATGGCCTGCAGGTTCAGGTCTTAAAAACACTACGGGAACACAACCAGGAGACTTTCCTTGTGCTACAAGGCGGTTACAAAAAAAGCAGCTCATCTGCTCGCGCGGAAGCGCACCAAGAAATGCAAAATGCCAGGTTGTGTCACGTAGTAAGTGCACACTCAGAAAAATGGATCCGTCCCAAGGGCAGTGAAAGCTGGACCTCGCTAGCACCGCGAATGCTGGGGATGCTCCTGTGACGCTAGAGACACGGGTTCAGGCGGAGTCGAGCTCCTTTTTTTTCCCTTCTCGGCGGTGCCAAGGAACCAGAGTTCGGTCTCAAGGGAGTCGACCCCAGGGGAGCAGCGGGGGAGGCTGTCAGCAAAAGGCGAGGGGTCAGCACCGAGGTGAGAGGTGGCGGTAGCGGCGAGGGAGGGGCTGCGCGAGGATGTCTCGGACCTGACCGGCGGCGAGACTGTCACGGGGCGGCCTCCCCCCTCCCGGCCTCGGGGCCCATTCACTCACATGCGGGCCCGCGCCCCCTCGGGCTCCTCCCGCCTCGGGGACACCAAGCCGCCCGGCGAGGAGGGGTGGGCCGACAACTTCCTGCTTCCGGGAGCGCAACCCGGAAACAGTTTCTACGCCACAAGCGAGCCCTGCGTCTCTCCACCCCTCCCCTCCCTGCTCTTGACCACAGAACACAAAACACCGGACGTCACGCTGCCTGGGGGAACTCTCGCGAGATCTGGGGAACGCGGGCTCTTGCTCCCCCTGGCGTTGGTCTCGCGCAGCGGCGCGTTGAAAACCGGATGGAACCAAACTTTACAGCTGAACTGATTGAGTTGAGACCTATTAAGACCCCTCTTCCGTTGCAGGCAGTGTACTGGCATTCAAGCATAGGAGCCGGAGGGACACGGTAGTGGAAGGCATCGCTTTCTGTCTGGCAGTTAAAAGCCAGGGAGAAAGACAAGCCAGTGAATCACTCTCATTCACACCTTCGTTAGCATTTATTGAGCGCTTGCTATAGAAAGCCCTTCTGGAGCTGGTCGCCACCCAGAAAAGTCCACATTTGTTTCTGGTTTTTTGTTTTTTTTGTTTTTTTTTTTTTTTGGTCTTTTTGAGACAGGGCCTCGCTATGCAGTTCGGGCTGGCTTTGAGCTCACTTTGTAGCCCAGGCTGGTCTGGAACTTGCGATGATCCTCCTGCTCAGCCTCTGGATTTTGGGATTACAGGCATATGCCACCAAGCCTGGCTAAAAGTTCATATTTGTAATGCCATGGAAAAGTTATTGGAATTCTAATAAATTAATTCCAATCTGTCACTTCCAATGCATGGTGCAATGCATGGTGAGAATAAAAGCCCTAAGGCATATTTGTAGGCGTGGGGAGCCAAGGGGCCCTAATCCAACCAGAACAATGGCTAACTGGAACAAAGGCCTCAACCCAGGCTCAACCGGGATTTGATTAACGTGTGAAGAGGGGAGTGGCTCAGGAGTGAGTGAGTGAGAGAAAGGCAGGAACTCCTTGAGAGCTGTGAGCTGGGCTAGGTAGGCGGCCTGAAATCACCTCAGCAATATGGAGAGAGAGAGAGAGAGAGAGAGAGAGAGAGAGAGAGAGAGAATAATCTGCATAGCACAGATTGCAGCAGTATCTAGTGTTGTGGGGTCAGTGCTCCTGTTTTGATGTGTAATTTTCATGCCCTGAGAGGTCACATCCTGTCTTCTCGAAGCTCATTCTCAGCGGATAGTGTGGCATCTCTCTACCTGGAAGCCACACAGTGGTAGTGGGCAGCACTGACCTGTGGCCTTGATTTAATGACCATGTATCAGCATGTAGGTTAGACCCATCAGCATTGCTTAAAGTTAATCAAGGGGATAAAGACAAAACTTAGCCAGTTCTGCACGTATCCATACACAGAAACAGGGCCAGACTCTGTCCTATTCTGTCCATAGCGCCAAAGCTCCTGTGTCCCCTTAAGTGATCTGCATGCCTGTAACCCATCAGTCTGGGAGTCTGAGGCAGGAAGACCCAAATTTGAATCCGCCCTGGGAAATTTAGTAATTTAGCCAGGTCATCTCAAAATAAAAATAAAGCCAGGCGTGGTGGCGCACACTTGTGATGCTAGCACTTGAGAGGCTGAGGCAGGAGGATCATTGTGAATTCAAAACCAGCCTGGGTTACACAGTGAGTTCCAGACCAGCCCAAACTGCTTAGTGAGACCCTGTCTCAAAAAGACAGAAATAAATAAATAAATAAAAGCAGAACTGAGAATGAAAATTTGAACACTTTTAAAGCCAGTATCACAAAGAAGGTGTCTAACTGGCAAACATACTCATAAAAAAAGCATTCAACTTCATCACTCATTATTTGTAAGAGAAATGACTGAGCTAGCCCTGTGCAGGCTTCAGAATTCCTGAAATGGGAAAAACGCAAGGCCAAGCATTAGCCAGGAGGCACAGCCATACCAGCCTCCCCTGGGCTCCTGGAAGGTGTGTGCATTGCTACGCCAGGCTGGCACACTGTGGTTTAACTACTGAGTTACACTCCACGCTGTCTGTGACCCAGGCATTCTGCCCCCAGGCTGACACCGGGACACTGAGAGATACTCATTGCAGCCCGAGCTGTTTGATGCAGGATCCAGAAACATCACACATCGCAGATGGCCACCAACAACAGATTATATAAATACACTGTATCTAAGTCATCAGATAGCAGATGGGGGTCTGAAGAAGTACCCCAAAAGGAGAGGGTGACTTCACCTCACTCGGTGGGTTCTTGATTTACTGTTTCAGAAAAGCCTTTCAGCAGGCAGTGAGATATAGGTAAATGGGTGCAACTCAAGCCCATACTCATAAGTGGAACAAGTCGGACTCCCGTGTGTAAACCTCGTATTGTCTCCCTAGTGTGAGAAAGTGAAACAGCAAAAAATGTACAATAGATACTGTGAAATGGGGAGAAACTGCTCAAAAGGAAAGAGAAACTGGGATGTGAGAGGAGAAAAGAAGGAAGGAAAAAGCAAAAAAAAAAAAAATATATATATATATATATGCAACATAGCTAAGATTTTTTTTTAATCTTTTTATCAGTACCAGGGATCAAACTCACGACCACCTGCTTGCAAGGCAGGTGCTTATGCCGCTGAGCTAAGTCCCCAGCCCCCATAGTTAAGCTTGTTATACTATTAATTGCCTGTAGTTCATTGAAAAGAAAGGTTTGCGCTAATACTATTTGGACAATTACATGCTTATATCTCATACTCAGTAATTTAAAGACAACAATATGAAATGTATTAGCCATTGCTATTCTCCTACTGTTTTGAAATTTTCTTTTTATTTTTTTCTCTTTAAAATAAAATTTAAGAAATCAATTAACCCAACACATTTAGGTCTATTAAGGAACCTGTTCTCTTCAATCCTTTTTGTCTGCCTTGGAGGCAATACTACACTGTGTGTTGATTATTATAAACACATATAAATTCTGGAAATGCATGTTAGTCTTCCAAACTTTTTCTTGCTTTTCAAAATTGTCTTAATGATTTCAAGTATTTTGGATTTTCCTATCAATTTTAGAAAAGCCTGCCAATTTAAAAAAAACCTAGAATTTTCATTAAACTATTAGTTCAGCTTTTGGAAAATTGTTATCTTCAAGTGTTTCACTTTAAAATGTATTTTTTCGAAGTCTTCAATTTCTCCATAATGTTTTCTAGTTTTTTGTATATAGGTCTGGTTTGTGATGAGCTTTATTGATCTTTCATATTTTAATACTCTTGTAAACAATGTGTTTTACTTTTCTTTGACACCATGAAGTAGAAATACAATTGCTTTTCAAAAACATTTTTTTTTTTTTTTGTCTTTTTCCTTTTTATTGGTACCGGGGATTGAACTCATGACTGCCTGCTTGCAAGGCAGGCGCTTATGCCGCTGAGCTAAATCCCAGCCTCCAATAAACATTTATTAGTTAAAAAAAAAAAAAAAAAAGGCAGTGAGAGGCATAGGCAGTTTTATGAGGTAAAATCAAAAAAGTACACCCCGAACGGGAAAGAGTGGGGGTGCTGGAGGGCGAGGTGCACTGTGGCCTGGGCTCGGTGTGTCCTCCAGAGCTCTGGACGGTATGTTTCCAGTTATTTATTGGTTACCCAGTGTCTGTTAGAGTATCTGTTAGCGAGCAAAAATTAATCATCAACTTGGTTGGAACACAAATGTAGGATGTATTTAGACAGATGTTTAGACAGATGGTGCCTAATTCATAGTGCATTGTCTCTGAGAATGGAAGACTTTGGCATTTGTGGGTTTATGGTACAGGAGAACAAACTCAGGCGCAGTGTGCACCGTGCAGCATCCTTAAGACTCTCGGGAACTGAGAAGGAAGAGCCTGGTCCGCGGTGAGACAGCGCTGCGGCCTTGGGTAACTGATTAGGTCAGGAAGCCGCAGTTCACTCTGGCTTCCTCCAGATGACAGCTGCCTCACAGGAGCCCGTGCCGTCTCCTTGCTGCCGGTCTGGATTTCCTGTCTTCTCTCAGAACTTCATGCCCAGAGCAATGCAACACGCCCACTGCACACCCACACGCGATGGATCTCACAGGCGTAAAGTTAATTAAGCAAAAGAAACCATAAGCCAAAGGGGGCGTCTGTTAAGACCCTATATTTACATCATCTGGCTCATCCTCCTTCAAGACTGAGAACATCAAGATGACAGATTTAAGGGACCAAACAGCATTGCCCGAAACCATCTGGGATTCCAGCACAGCCTCATAAAACTGATATGTGCCAAGCAGAAATATGGAGCCCACACTGTCCCATCCAGCAACAAGGGCTTTTCCAGAACCATCCTGCAAAATCAAACTGACGGCACGACGCAGCAGACCCCAGCCCACCTCCGGAATTCTCTAAAAACCAGCCTTGTCCCTCTGTTTGCAGATACCTTTGCTCTCCTCCGTCAGGGCTGTGTTCCCTGTAGCTCCTTCCCATTTTTTCTAACTGCCTGCTAAATCTGGCTTTTTTTTTTTTTTTGTCTTTTTCCTTTTTATTGGTACCAGGGGATCAAACTCACGGACTGCCTGCTTGCAAGGCAGGCACTTATGCCGCTGAGCTAAATCCCCAGCCCTGCTAAATCTGTTTTCACGCTGGTTTGAGCGTATATTCTTATGAAGTTAATCCTAACCTGCTGAGACCCCTACCTAGTAGAGTTTAAACAGCACGTAATTATGAAAGAATCCTGAGTTTTGGGGGCTGGGGATTTGGCTCAGCGGCATAAGCACCTGCCTTGCAAGCAGGTAGTTGTGAGTTCGATCCCTGGTACCAAAAAAAAAAAAAAAAAAAGAATCCCGCGTTTCTTTTGCCCATACCCAAATCCTATATGCAAGAGGCAGCAACACTTTGGACACCACAAGTTTTAGTGTATTGCTGTATTTGTTCCAGTCTGTGACTCACTAAAACAGCTCTTGATAAACCTAGTATTTGAAAGGTACAACTTCTGTGGTTTGGAAGATTTTATAACAATTACATCCGCTGAATGGTCCGTCCCGGTAGCTACCAGAGGAAGAAAGAACTGACATGAAACCCCAGGGGTTATGTAGCTGGGCCAGGGGCACTTTTTAAGTATTCCCCATTTATCCATCTCCTTATTCCAAGGTGAGAAACGGAAGCATGTTCTCGTGCCTTTATTGGATGTTCATCTCTCTCCATGTTATTCTTAAATTGAAGTTTCTAGATCAATTTTTTTTTTTTAACCAGGGATCAAACTCATGACCTTGCACTTACCAGGCAGGCGCTTATACCACTGAGCTAAATCCCTGGCTGAAGTCTCTGTTTAGTAGCATTTCCACACTATTTGCAATTCTATGATTTTTGCATACAGTGCAGACTGTATAGAAGCTGTGACTAAAATGGTTCCACGTATCATAACATACTTTGAGAAGAAAAGCCCACAATTCTTCTGGGTGGTTTCCAGTCCTTTTATTTTGGTTTCTTTCTTAAAAATTCAAGGGTTTCAGCTGGGCGTGGTGGCTCATACCTGTAATCCCAGCACTCGGGAGGTTGAGGCAGGAGGATTGTTGCGAGTTTGAGACCAGCTTGGGCTACACAGTGAGCTCAAGGCCAGCCTGAACTGCATAGTGAGACCCCATCTCAAAAAGACAAAAAAAGAAAAAAATTCAAGGGTTCCATGTGCTTAAAGAAAGGACCCATTTAATAATAAGCTTACCTGTTCTGAGCTGGAAACTGGAAACTTCTGAAACTCAGGAAATAGTTTCTGACAATGTTTTAAATGCTCAAATATTAAAAAAAATGACAAAATATATAAAAATGACCAAAATAATTTGTACTGTTTTTTTCAAATGTTTTTCCTAAATGCTTCCTGTGCAGTGAGGTGAAGTTTGATGGTATATTTCTGTGTAGTGGTGATATACTGCTTATTCTTATTTACAAATAAAGAAAACAGAGCTGGACATGGTGGTGCACTCCTGTAATCCCAGCACTCGGGAGGCTGAGGCACGAGGATTGTTGCAAGTTCGAGACCAGCCTGGGTTACAAAGTGAGCCCAAGGTCAACCTGAACTACACAGTGAGACCCTGTCTCAAAAAGGCCAACAAACAAAAAACAGATTTAAATGTCTATGTGATCAAAAGGGTGTCATTTAAAAGATTAAGTTCATATAGAGTGTGTATTAATGGTGCTTATTTTATTATTTTATTTTATTTTTGGTACTGGGGATCAAACAGCCTCCTGCTTGACAATGGTGCTTACTTTAAAAATGTAATTCGTTTATAGTGTTACTAAACAGATTTGAATAGATAATACTTTACAGAATGTAACAGAGAAACAAACGAGGCTGACAGACATCTGCACCCTCAGGAGCCTTTTATACCTTCATGTTCCACGATGACAGTTTATTATTTTCCTTAAGGTTGAACAGTTGGCTTTTAGGGTCCAAATGATGAACCTATTAATAATAAAGAATTAAATTAACCTTGAATTAAATTAACATCTCATTCAGATGTAACACTGCAGCTATTAGAGAATATATTATAAAATTTTTAGAGCATGTCAGAAACAACATTTTTCTAATTGTGCTACAAAGGAAATGTAATTTTGCTGTTAATTCTTGTACATTTTACTGAAAATGTTTGTAATTTTGCTTTTAAAATTTCTTATGGAGCTATTTGCAGATCATACACTTAATTTAATAAAATATTTTAGCCACACATGCAAAAGATTGCTTTGTAGAGTAAAAGATTGTTTCTAAAAACTGCAAGTTCTGGGTAACTCATACACACAAAGTTTCCTTATTAAATAGCATCACTCTAGTGTCTTTCTGTTTGTTTCTTCTCTTCCGACCTCGTCCAATTGCGGGACTGCTCCTAATTCGTCCACGCCGGGCGTGGTGGTGCATGCCTATAATCCTAGCAAGGGGTCCCAGCACTCGGAGGCTGAGGCAGGAGGATCGTTGAAAGTTCCAGACCAGCTTGGATTACAAAGCCAGCTAAAGGCCAGCCTGAACTGCATAACGAGACACCGTCTCAAAAAGACAATTAAAAAAAAAAAAATCCTAGCACTGGGGAGGCTGAGGCAGGAGGATCAGTGCGAGTTCAAGGCCAGCCTTGGCTCATAGTGAGTTCAAGCCGTCTTAACTACTTCAGGCTGCCTCAAAACAAACAAACAAATCCGTCCAATCACAGTGAAGATTTGTGTTCCCGCCTTCCGTGCCTAAACCAGCCAATCGGGTCGTCCGGCAAGTGGCGGGCTCCACATTCATCGATATCCTGTAAGGAATTTTGCACTTTCTTCTGTCCTAGTGTTCAGCTTCTTCTAGGCCCACACCTCAGCTTCTCCGCCGTGGAAGAAGCCTCCATCCTCTTCTTGTCCCAGTTTCCCGCCTCCATTCCTGGACTCCGGAGAGTTGATCGGCGGGGACCGGAAGTGTGCGCCGCAGTGACGGATCCCCCGCGCACCGCCGCCGGAAGTAGCTGCTGCTTGCGGAGGGTTCCGTCGGCGTGGTCATGGCTGCGATTCCCCCAGACTCCTGGCAGCCGCCCAACGTTTACTTGGAGACCAGGTGAGGGGGTCGGACCTGTGGGGCTGGGCTGGGGCGATGCGGGGCCGGGATTCGCTCGGCCTGGGTTTGGCGCGCTGCTCCGAGAAGCCAGGGTCCACGTGGAGCGGCAGCCGGGGATCCAGCCACCGCTGTCGCGATCATCCTCGTCGCCCACCTCGTTCATTCATTCACTCAACAAACATTCACTGAGTGAGTCGACCGCCACGTACAGGAGAGCTGAATCTTGAGGACGCAGAGGTGAATAAAACCACAGCGCCCTGCCTCTGGAGACTGATACTCAAATATTACAGTTATATCACAGATAACTGCGAAATTACAGGGAAAAGTCACCGAAGAGTCACGTGATAGCGACGTAACTAAAGGGCACGTTGATAGGACCGTGCCATCACTTAATTTAATCCAATCCTTCTGGCAACTTTTATCATCAAGTGTTAGCGGGGAGGTGTCAGATTCTACAGATTAACAGGCTGGTGAGTGGGGGGAGCCCTGCTTGGAGCCTGGTCAGCCTGTCTCACAAGCAGGGTCTCCAGCTCCGCTCATCCCCGCGCCTCTTAAATTGGTCTTCCTGAAGCAGGGCAGCGGGGTCCTGCTCAAGACCTTACATGGCTGCTACGATGGTGTAGCGTTAAAACTGCAGTTTGACATGCGGGGGGGGGGCTTCCTTCCTTATTTCCTCCCTTCCTCTGTCCCTTTCTGCGCTTTCCTCCTGCTTTTCAGCCACAGCACAGAGTTCTCAAGCTGTTTCCGCTCTAGCCATCCTCTGCCTCCTTCTCTGTTTCTTTCTTTTCCTTTATTTTGTTGTGTTTTTTGAGACAGGGTCTTGCTGTGCAGTTCAGGCTGGCCTTGAGCTCACATTGTAACCCTGGCCGGTCTCAAACTCACAGTAATCCTCCTGCCTCAGCCTCCTGACCGCCTCACTTTCTTTTAATGCAAAATACCTATCTTCAGTTCCCTTCCACCCTGGGGACAAAGCCAGCCTGAGCTACATAGCGAGACTGTGTCTCAAAAAACGAAGCAATAGAGAAGCAGAACAGTCCCGCCGTGCCTGGGGCCGTGACCTTGCTCCTGACCGGGCTGTGCTGTCCCCTGCCTGCAGCATGGGAATCATCGTGCTGGAGCTGTACTGGAAGCACGCGCCCAAGACCTGTAAGAACTTCGCCGAGTTGGCCCGGCGTGGCTATTACAACGGCACCAAATTCCACAGAATCATCAAGGACTTCATGATCCAGGGAGGTGACCCAACGGGGACAGGTACGTCTCACTGTCTCCTGACTGGTGAGGAGGTGGCCAGAGTGCTGTTTGCCGCACAACCTGGACCTAAGTGACTTGATTCCAGTGGCGTCTCCTACCCACTGACACATGCAAGTGGGGAATTCGGAAAGGAATCCTGATCCCTCCTGATGGCTTTTCATGTCTTTTGTGTTTCGTTCACTAAGAGCGAATAACATTTGCCAGCATTGTGGTGATACATAGTGTAGTTGGAGTAGAAGTGGAAAAAATATTCTCAACATTTTGGAAAGAATACAATGCTGAATACTGAAGCTGAGTGTGGCGGTGCACATCCATAATCGCAGCACTCTGGGAGGCTGAGGCAGGAGGATCAAAAATTCAAATCCAGCTTAGGTAATTTAGGGACTTAGCAAAAATACAAATTAAAAAGAAGGGCTGAAGATGTTGCTCTGTGTGAAGCCCTGGGTTCAGTCTCTCTCACCACCAAAAACAAACCACACCAAAGCCAAACGCAAATACTGTGCACCTGCTTTGTGTCCGATGGTTTTCTAAGCCCTAGGGATGTAGCTATGGAGAGACAAAATTCCTGCCCGTGGTGAAGTGGGGACCATGCAGGATAGAGAGGCGTGGGAAGATCAGAGAAGTCTCTCTGAGATGTTGCAGGGTTCTGGACGCAGACAGGGTGAACTCTGAGACCCAGGGCACTGAGAGGTCGGGGCCTCTGTGGACCTGACCGTGTTGGGGACATTGGGTTTTATTCTGAGCAAAGGGGCCATCGTTGAGTTTTTTTTTTTTTTTTTTTTGTCTTTTTCCTTTTTATCGGTACCGGGGATCGAACTCACGACTGCCTGCTTGCAAGGCAGGCGCTTATGCTGCTGAGCTAAATCTCCAGCCCCCATCATTGAGTTTTGAGTAAAGGAAAGGTGTGATCTGACCAGTGCTGTGTGAAGGTCCCTCTGGCCACTTCTTGGAGAATAAACAGAAGGACAAGAGTGAGTCCTGGAGCGGGGCGTGATGGCACACTCGTGTAATCCCAGTACTCAGGAGGCTGAGGTAGGAGGACTGTTGCGAGTTCAAGACCAGCCTGAACTGCATAGCAAGACCCTGTCTCAAAAAAAAAAAAGAAAGAAAGAAAGAAAGAAATGGCCCTGGGATTGGCCTCTGTAACCGTCCAGTCTGGAGGTGATGGAGTCGGACCAGGCTGGGAATCGGGAGGTGGTGAGGAGGGGCTGGCTGGCAGCCTACGCCCGGGGTCTGCAGTGGCAGATTGGACAGCCAAGAGGCAGAAATGGTCCCGTGAGACTGCCAGTTTCCTAGGCGACCAGCGAGATGGGGAGGCGCATGTGGGGTTTGGAGGGAGGAGAGGAGGGTCTGGCCTAGGCCCTGTGACCTCGGAAGGTCACTGAGGAAGTGGCTGTGTGGGAGCCCGGAGCCGCAGGGTGGGCCCTGAGTGGAGATGGGGGCTCTGGGATCCTGGGTTCCTGCGTGGCGCTTCCTTGGCCACGCTGTCAGGGTGCTTGCTGGACAGCCAGCCCTTGCTTCTCAGGTGGCTGCTGTTCTGCTGATTCCCGCTCTGGGCTTTAGGCAGGGGAGCTGTCTCTCCTGTGGAATCTTCTTGCCCTTTTCTTGGTGTTCTCAGGTTTGGGGGTTGGTTTTGTTCTGTTTTTGTTGTCCTGAGGGTTCCACCTGGGCTTGAACCCAGGGCCTTCGTCCTGAGCTACATCCCTGGACCTTTTTCTTTTTTCTTTTGAAACAGGGTCCTGTTAAGTCATTCAGTGCTCCAGGCTGGCTTACATTTGTGATCTTCCCGCCTCAGCCTGCCAGAAGGCCGGGATTAGAGAGGCGTGTACTGCCCAGTGTGTCTGGCTTCGCCGTTTCTCTTTATGACCAGGGGAGCTTAGTTTCTTTAATGTGGATGGATGCATCATAGAATCCAAGATAGATAAAAAATGGGGCAAAAACCAGGAAGTGGAGCTTCCAGAGTTTCTCCCACAGCTGGCTTATCCTGCCACCTCCCACTTCTCAGAAGGGCCAGCGATCATGTTTGCTGGGTCCCATTCTGGGCATCCATGTCAGAGAGCAGCTGGTTAGATGGAAGTGACCAGAGAACGGGGTAGACTGTAAATACTGCTGTTTTAAAATGGAAGTTCTGTTTAGCTTTGAGTAAATTCATCCGGGAAACTGCCTGCCTGTGATGAAGGATGGGGCAGTTAGCACTTTTAAAGTTTAACTTTAAAAACTTTTAACTTTATTTTTTTATGGCGCTGGGGATCAGACCCAGTGTACATGCTAGGGATGCTCTACCGCTGGGCCGTACTACCCACCCTGTTGTTTGTTGTTAGTTTTGTTTTTGTCTGTTTACTGTACTGGGGGCTGAATCTGGGTTTGTTCTGGGCTACACCCCCAACCCTTTTGAATTTCTTGTTTTGAAACAGGATCTTTTTTTTTTTTTTTTTCCTGTCTTTTTCCTTTTTATCGGTACTGGGGATTGAACTCACGACTGCCTGCTTGCAAGGCAGGTGCTTATGCCGCTGAGCTAAACCCCCAGCCCCTGAAACAGGATCTTTTTAAGTTACCCAGCTTGGCCTCAGATTTGCAGTCCTCCTGCCTCAGCCTCTCGGGGTTACACGGGGCATATGCATTGCTCCTGACAGTTTACCTTTTTTTGGCTTTTTGGAACAGGGTCTCGCTGTGTAGTTCAGGCCGGCCTTGAGCTCACTCTGTAGCCCAGGCTGGCTTTGAACTTGCAGTGATCCTCCTGCCTCACCTTCCAGAGTGCTGGGATTACAGGCGTGCACCACCACGTCCAACAATTTTACTTTTTTTGTTCTGTGCTCTTAACTCAGGGTTACTCACACCTCCTTATGCCCTTAAATGCTAGAAGGCGGGATTTCAGGGGGGCTGGTGGGGTTGCATTTGTGAACTGCCCTGTGGGGGATTTTGGCCACGCCAGAGGTGGGGTCCCCCGGATGTCATTGGTCCCTCAGATGTTAGACAGCTCCGCCCCATCGCCCCCAGTTTAAGTGTAGTTTTGGGAAATCCTGTGGCCAGACTTCAGCCTTCCTTGAATTTATGGAAAATTTAAAAGTCATTGTTTCTGAATCTCTGGTGATATGCATCAGATTTGCTATTTCAGGAAACTAATTTTCCTTTGTCTCGTCATCTTTGCCTTCCGTGTTGATTGCATCTCTTCTGATTGGAGCACGACAAGGTTTTTCCTTTCTCCCCTGAGGAACCTCAGCCCTCCTTCCTGCCCGACTCCGTTTTTGGCTGTGTCTGTTCTGCTCTTCGATGCTCTGACTTATGTGTCAGCTCTTTATTGGTGTCGCGGGTCTCGGCTGATGCCCTCAGCGCCCAGTCTTCTCCCCGTATTCCCTGGTTTTTCTCTTGCCTTTGAGCTTTGCTTCACTAGACTCTCATCTCTGTAGAATCGCTTGTGTCTGGAGCCACGGAGAAGGCACCGCTTAGGTTTATGTTTCCCCCACGCGAAGGTGTTGGTTTGTTTTTGAGACCGGGTCTCACTGTCCAGTCCAGGCTGGCCTTGAGCTCACTGTGGAGCTCAGGCTGGCCTGGAGCTTGCAGCGATCCTCCTGCCTCAGCCTCCCGAGTGCTGGGATTACAGGCACCAGCCTCAGGTCTGGTGGTCTGAGGTCATTTCCTCCCTTCCCTCCTCTCTGTCAGGCACAGGGTCGTGGTGTCCCCATGTCATTCTCCTCGCCTTTGTGGGCCCATTGTGTCCCCACTCAAAGGCGAGGTTACTCTCTCCCTTTTATTCTAGCCTGGAAAGAAGCAAGTTGGGGTCCCCTTTGAGGGGACCAGCCACTGCGCATCTCCCCGGGACCCCTAAACTGGGTCTCAGGACCCCTCTAGCTGCCATACTGACCGTCCAGCCCCATGCAGGCCCCGCGCCACCCCCCAGTGTGACCTGGTGCCTGGAAGTTCGGCGGCCCTGGTTGCCGCCCTGTAGCCCCGGCCCCGGCCTAGGTGTGTCTCCTTAGCTGCTCTCCTCCGCCATGGCTTCTTGGGCTGGGGGGTGTTGGGGACACTGCCCAGCTGGGCACCCCATCCTGCCAGCTGCCCTCGGGGAGTGCATGGTGAAGACTCCAGTGGTTCTCTCCCTGGTGGGCTCCTGGGGAGTTTTCCGGATGCTGACGCTGCAGGAACTGGGCTTCCAAAGTCTTCATCGCTCTCCGTTCGCTGCCCTGTGGGCCGGGGCGGCGAGGCGGATCCTGCATCCTGCATCCTGCATCCTGCATCCTGCATCCTGCATCCTCCTCCCCCTGCTCCTCTCCTGTCTCCTCTGCCCCTCTCATTGCTGTCACACCGTGAACTGTTATCACTCGTGACTCTGGTGAGCCGAGAGTGCGGGACTGGGGAACCGGGCCCAGAAGCAACTCGGGTGTGAGTCTCTCGCTCCAGGCTTCCTGTGTTTCTGAGTTGTCTTTCTGTCCTTCCTGATGTCACGTTTCTATGTTGTGATGGTGACGGAACTGAGTGACTCTAAAGATTTCCAAATAACTGTGGGACCCCAGGTCCTGGTCCGACCTGGTCACTGGGTCAGCCTGCGTGCTGACTGGATGCCAGCGCAGGCAGCGTCCTGGGCCCCGGGGAGCCCCGAGCCATCGCAGTGCCTGCCCGTCCCTCAGGCTGACCACCCTAGAGCTGTTCCGTTTGTGGTCATCCTGACGTCTTCACATACTGTTGACTTCCTGCTGGTTTTCACTTTTAGTCTTTCTTTTTTTTTTGAGACAGGGTCTCAGTTCAGACTGGCCTTGAGCTCACTTTGTAGCCCAGGCTGACCCTGAACTCGAAGTCATTCTCCTGCCTCAGCCTCCCAAGTGCTGGGGTAACAGGTGCACCCCCAACACCGGGCGCTGAGCCTTTTTTCTACTACGGCCGTATCAAAATAACTCAAATTATTGCTTGCTTAGCTGCGGGTGCCTTTTATCTGTTGCTGCAACCTCTCCTCCTCTCCCTTCCGGCTAGGCGTCCTGCTGGTTCTTCCCGCCCCACAGGCCTCACAGTGCCCATGGCTGTAGCCACCGTGCTTCGGTGATGAGCTGTGAATGCTGGCGGGAGTGATCTGGCAGGAGGGGAGACATGGGCAGCGAGTGGGAGTGGGTGCTCGGGGGTGGCTGACGTGGTGCGTTAGTAAAGGAGGGGGCAGGTGGTGGGCACAGGGGCGGGCATTTGGCGGAGGGAGCCCTGGAAACGTCCTTTTTCTCAGTGGAAAATGAAAAAAAAAAAGCCGAAGCTGTCCGCAGTGAGCCAGGGGCATTGAGCAGGTGGCTCGGGGACAGGACTGGTCCGAATCCTGGTGGCACCAGTGCTGCTCGCGGAAACTTGGGCTCCTCACACCAGTGCCACCAGCGCTCACTGTGTGCCATGCACACCTGGCTTCCGAGCACGCTGTCACACGTCCTGGGGGGGTCCTGCTAAAAATGAAGCAAGCACTTGACAGCCACCGACAGCTGGAGCTGGAATCCCGGCTCTGAGCCCAGGACACTGGAGACAGGGAGGTCCCCTGTACACTTTTTGGTCTCCGGTGGGGATGTCACAGGGCTCGGTCCCCTTCCTGCAGTGCGGCAGGGCGACTGTCAGTCAGCCGCGTAACTGAGCACCTGGAGGGAACTTGTCCCCACTTCACCCGCCCAGCAGGAGTCAGGGACCCAGGCCCCCTCCTCTTGTGCTGCTCTTGGAGAAGGTGGTGGGAAAGAGCCGTGGTCACCGGAGGAGCGCGTTGGTCTCTGGGTCAGGAGAGCTCCTCGGAAGTCTCTGTGTTTCCCTAAGTCAGGCCGGGCACCCACTCTGCCAGCTGCAAACCAAACCGCTCAGTCACTGCCTGTGCCTCTGAGGCAGAGGCAGAGGTGGAGGAGCCTGGGGACAGCCAGGGACAGCTGGCCCGAGGTGCCTGTTGGAAGCTTGCTTGGTAGAGAGGCATCAATGGATCGCTTGTCCTCTGGAGTCAGAGTGCTGCCTGGGCAGAGCTTTCTGGTAGCCTCTGGGTCACTGCCACCTGCTTGTCAATCTGGGGCCCTGTAGTGTGGTGACCTCACATGGCCACCAAGCCTGTCTCGTGTTGTAGATGGCTCATCGTTGGGAGATTTCTACAGTGAGCAGAGGAGGAGACATTAGAGGGGTGTTGGGATAAGAAATGGATTCCTGCTTTTAATAACAGATTGACTACAGAAATTTCTGTGCATTAGAAGAAACCCGTAGGGGCTGGGGATTTAGCTCAGTGGCATAAGCACCTGCTTTGCAAGCAGGCAGTTGTGAGTTCGATCCCCGATACCGATAAAAACAAAAAAGACAAAAAAAAAAAAAAAGAACCCTGTAAAACAGTGCAGGAAATCCTCAGCAGCACAAGCGCCTGCTGGCAAGGTCATGAGTTCGATCCCTGATCCTGTCCCGCCTTCCCCCCAAAAGGAATGTAAGAAATCACCCAGGATAAAGGATTTGCAAAGCATTAATTGACAAAGAAATGACATCTGACCGTTCAGTGTTTAAGTGGCTGTTCAGAGGACAAAAACCAGTAAACTAGAAGATAGGTGCGGTGACAGGACGGAAGTGCCAGGTCTGCCTGCTGCCGGCGGGAGGGGACAGCACAGTGGCTCCCGCTCCGTCTGGTCACCCGGTGTGGGGGGCAGCAGAGCACCTGTCACAGCGAGCCCCGCTGCAGCTGGTGCTGGAGGAGACCCAGGACGGGGTGGCAGTCACAGAGTGGGGAGACGCTGCACAGAGCTGAGGGAACGAAGTGGGGGACATGCCCTGACCCGTGGGGGGCCGAGGGGCTGAGTGCAGAGATGGGGGAGCGGGATTCTGTCTCTGTAAACCCCAGGAACAGCAGGCGGCTCTCAGGGACCCGTGGGTGTGCAGAGGAAGACACAGATGGGTCACCGGGTAGGGGTCACCCCCTCCAGGAGCAGGGTTGGGTGGGGCCCCAGATCGTCCTGTTTCTCTGTATCTTTTGTCTGTGCCCTGCCTCGCCTGCCTTGGATAAGACTTTGAGAGAGCTCTGGAGAGACAGAGAACCCAGCCCAGAGCTTAGGCAGCAGTCTGTCTTGTCTGTCTGTCCCAGCTGTCTGTGTCCTGGACCAGTGCCTCATCAGCTTTCTAACCAGGGCGGTACCAAAGCTGGTGACCAAGGGGGCCCTGGGCCTCTCCTCCAGCTCTTGTCTGTGACTCCTGCCCCCTGGTCTGAGTTTGTGACAGTGGTGGTGGGGCGTGTGGGTTCCTAGAGGGCAGAGGTCTGAGGGTTTGCTGGGCAGCGCTCAGCTTGTAGGGCCTGCCGTCCCTGGGATGCTGGGCAGGGGCAGGGCAAGGGCAAGGGAGAGGGAGGGGAGCTGGCGGGGCACTGTCTGGCCCCTCTGGCCCCCCAGCAGCTTGTGCTCTTGGGCAGGTTGTTACCCGCTCTTGGGCAGGTTGGATAGAATCATTGGAGCCTGGGCTGAGCTGGGCTGAGCTAGGCTGGCCGCCTGATTTCAGCCCACCCCCTTTCTGCTGGCAGGGGCTGTGGCCTGTGTCGCGTGGGGCAGCCCGAAAGGCGAAAAAGGGATTTTTCTTGTTTGTGTGTTTATTACCATGGAAGCACCTGTGCCGTGCCCTGAGACCTGGCCTCTGGGCGGCTTCTGGCTGCCAGGCAGGCGGCACTCACCAGTGAATCCAGCACTGGCCGCCTGCCCAGCCCTGTGGAGCCGGGCTGCTTTCCCTGCGGGAACGTAGGAGCCTCACGTCCTGTGGGCCCTGCAGAGCGCAAGTCCCCAGCTCCTGCGGACCGGGAGGAGCAGCGTTTGGTGGCCACGTTGCTCACAGGGGGTTCCCGTTCCCCCTTCCCCAACGCTGCGTCTGTTCTTGGTGGTGGCGGCTGTCTCTCGCTCCCCACCTTTGCCGCTCACCTCCCCGTGCGCGCGGTGGCCCTGATGCCAGGGTTGGCTAGGTGTCGGTGCCTCCTGTTCTCGCTGCAGGTGGATGGCAGATAGCTTCCAGCTCCGCCATCCCTGGTCCTCCTGGGTTGCCGCTCGCGTTCCAGCTGGTCGGGGTTTGCGGCCGAGCTGAGCAGAGGGGAGATTCTCCCTGGCTGCCGGCCGGCTCTGCTAGACTCGGGGTTAGGGCTCGGAGGCTCCTGCTAAAATACTCATGAACACGTAGCAATCGAGGCGCTGCCTGCCAGGCAGGATTCTGTAGAGGAGCTGGTGGCAGGGGCTCCGTGTTCTTTGACCTTGCTGTCTTCTGTATTTTTGGTAGCAAGCCTATATTAAGGTGGGAAGCGGGAGGAAACAGTTTGAAAAGCAGTCTTCACCTGAAGGAAGCCAGAGGTTCACGGCTTGATTCTGCAGCTCAGTGGGTGCAGTAGGGCAGGCAGGACGCGCTGTCTCCCTCCTCCTTCCCCGTACCCTGAAAGCTCCTCCAGCCCCTGTGGGTGCTGGGCTCGCAGCAGGGCCGTGGGTCTGGCCCACTCAGTTCTCACCTTCCGGTCTGCAGGTCGCGGCGGCGCGTCCATCTACGGCAAGCAGTTTGAGGATGAGCTTCACCCCGACCTCAAGTTCACGGGTGAGTGGGGGCGGGGGGGGGGGGGCTGGATTCAGAGTGCCTGCTGACGCCGTGGCCAGGAGCCAGGGAGCTGCCAGCTGTGGCGCCACGGGGGCCCTGGCACTTGAGCCCAGGCGGAGCAGTTCCAAGTGCCGCCCTGGGCGTCCTGGACTCTAACCACTCCTCAAATGTCACAGAGCAAAGGCTGCCAAGAGTATCCTCACGGAGAGGCACACTGGGCGTGCTGGGAGTTGGGGGAATTGGCAGCGTGGGCCCGTGGCTAGCAGGGCCCTCAGGGACCAGCTGGGGAGCGGGTGGGGTTGGAGAGCTCTGTGGGGCGGGCAGTGAGTGGCTGCTTCGCACGCGGGGCTCCTCCACGCTCTCCCTTCCCCCATCCCTCCCAGGTGCTGGCATCCTTGCGATGGCCAACGCAGGGCCGGACACCAATGGCAGCCAGTTCTTCGTGACCCTCGCACCCACCCAGTGGCTGGACGGCAAGCACACCATCTTCGGCCGTGTGTGCCAGGGCATTGGCATGGTGAACCGCGTGGGGATGGTGGAGACCAACTCCCAGGATCGCCCCGTGGACGACGTGAAGATCCTCAAGGCATACCCCTCGGGGTAGACCTCTGCCTGGGCCGGGGCCCGGGCCTGGGGCTGGGGATGTGGACACTGTTGAACTTCCCTGGGGGAGCCGGAGCTGGAAGCGCCTCTTCCCAGGATGCGTCTGTCTCTCCCAGGGTCTGGGTTGATGGGCTTTGGTGGCGCTCACCGTGGTGACCTGTCCCTATCCTTCCCGTGGGCTCCAAACTGGGCAGCAGCTCAAGAGGTACAGCCTCGGCCCTTTCCGGATTTATATTCTGGCCACACTCTGGGCTCCAGCAGTGACTGCCCAGGATTCCAAGCACGCAGCACGCAGGGCCCAGCACCCCTGCACTGCCGCCCCCGCCCTCCCGCCACTGGTGCTTCCACGGAATGTGAATGCCACCCGCTCCGTTTCCCCCCAGCCAGAAGACCAACCCTGCTGCTCCGACATGCAAACTTCCCACGCAGAGCTGCGCTGGAGCTGTGCCAAATGAAAAACGCATCCAGCAATCAAGTCTGTAGGAGTCTTGGGAATGATAATGTGGGACGGTCAGGGTGGGGTTCACCAGAGCACTGAGCCATCCTTCCCTGGAGGGGGGCAGAGGTCTCCAGAACCCAGGGACAGACTGTGTCCTTTGTCAAAAGCAGCGCCTTAGGAGGAGAGGACAGCCCCGCTCTTTTGATTAAGACTTTAGAGAAATTAGAGAGGAAAGTTTTGTACTTTTTAAAAAACCCTTGATGGGGAGAGGGTAGGGTGAGAGGGGATGAGTTCTGTCCTTTGTCATACATAGGTTCATCGGAATAAAACGCCGTCTGTTGATGGTTGAAATTATTGCTGTGGTTGGATTTTCAGGATTGCATGGGGTTGCACAGGTTTTTGTTTGTTTTTGATTTTTGGTGTTTTGGAGATGGGGGTCTCACTATGTGCCTTAAGCTGGCCTTGAATTTGCAGCGATCCTCCTGCCTCAGCCTCCCAAGTGCTGGGATTACAGGCCTGTGCCACCACGGCCAGCTTTTCTATAACATTTTTCTCCATCTTCCTGTCTCCTTTGAACAAGGGAAGACTAAAACCCACAAGTAAATTGTCTGAGTGACTTTATAAATTCTCAGTTATACTTTCTCAGAAAATAGAAACACTTGTTTTTCTTAGACAAGGTCTGGCTATGCAGTTCAGGCTGGCTTTGAGTTCACTTTATAGTCTTGAATTTGCAACGGCCCTCCTGCCTCAGCCTCCCAAGTCCTGGGATTACAGGTGTTCGTCACCACACCGGGTTTTTTTTTTGAGACAGGGTCTCACTCTGTAGCCCAGGCTGGCCTCCAACTGGCATCAGTCCTCCTGCCTCAGCCTCGCAAGTGCTGGGATTGCAAGAGTGCGCCACCACATTTGGTTTAGGAAAATAGAAGTGTTTTCTTTCAGCCAAACTGCTGGGAGTTGCGTGGAGTTTTGTTGTGTGTCTGCAGCTTCTCTGGGTGAGGACATGAGGACACACCCAGGAGGGACGTGCCACCCCCGGCAGGCACTGAAGACGTGGGAGGGCAGTGGGGCAGCTCTGGCGGCAGCTGCAGCTTGGGGGAGGCTGTGGCGGAGGAGGGTAAGGCAAGGCAAGGAGCCTTGGAACCAGTGCTCCGGGCTGGGTGGGAGGCGGCACTCAGGGTGTGGCCGGTGGCCTGTGCCCCGAGGCCACCTGCCTAGGGCGCCGCCTCACCACACTGGAGACTCTGAGGGAGCCTGGCAGAGAACGGGCAAGGGTGCTGCCTGTGCCTGAGGCTGAGTCAGGATCCCTAGGAGTGCAAGCCCAACCTGAGCCAGACCCTGTCAGCTGCATTTCTAAGCAGTTCCCAGGGAGGCAGCTGCCCATCCCCACTACACCTCGAGAAGCAGCCCCTCGGTAGGCAGAGAGGGGGTGAGGTCCTCGGGAGCATGGCACAGCGCCCCAAGACCAGATCTGCCTCATCCTGGAGCCTGGGGAGAATAAGAGACCCAGGCACGGGTCTCGGGCTGAATGTTAAGAGAGGCACCCCCTTTCTTTTTTTTTCTTTTTGAGACAGTGTCTCACTATGCCGTTCACGCTGGCCTTGAACTCATTGTAGCCAAGGCTGGCCTTGAACTCAACAGCAATCCTCCTGCCTCAGCTTCCTGAGGGCTGCGATTACACATGGTGGTGTGCGTCACCATGCCCAGCTTAAAATACTTATGGAGCTTTTTTTGGGAGGGTTACTGGGGATCGAACTCATGACCTTGAGCTTGCCAGTCAGGTGCTTACACTGCTGAGCTAAATCCTCAGCCCCGGAGGTTTCTTTTTGAATTCAGTCCATCTGACTAGTTAAGAGTTGAGCCTTTAATCTTACACCTTCAGCAGCATGAGCTGGTTCCTTTGCAGGGTGCCGCTGATTAACCAGCTTTCGCAGAGGTCCAGAGCAAGCCTTGCTGAGAAGCTGTGATGTTTACAGAAGCTTCACTTGCCCTGTGAACACTCTCCTCTCTGCTCTCAGTGACCATCGCCCCATGATTTGTAACTGGTCACTGGTTTTGCTCTGCTCCTAGACCTGAAATCTTTTTGGTTGGCTATGGGAAGTAGATTCTTGGGCTTCTGTCCTCTTAATTTATATCTTGCCTTTGTTTCTGGTATGCACCTGCAGCTGCTCAAGCCCCAGGTGATGTCCTCTGCACGCACCCGGGCCGGGAAGCTCCCCCAGTGCCACATTTTCTGAAAGCCCGGGACATCACGGTGAGGGAATCAGGGTGGGGGTCTCTGGCTGAGAAGCTGGGTCCCTGTTTATTTTTCCCAGTCGGTCTGTCTTTGGATCCCAGACAGCTAGTTGCAGCTACAGGTGTGGACAGAACAGCGTGAGGCCTCGTTGTGACCCAGGGGAGTCGCCTTGCTCCCCAGGAGCCGAGAGATCTGAACCCGGCCCCTGCCAGCGCCCAGGCTTGGGAATCTAGGTCAATCGGAAGATTCCTCTTGAAGGTCCCTTAGCGTGCTGTTCCCGAGCTCTGCCGCCAGAGGCCGCTGCGAATGCAGCTTTCCATCCCGGCGTCTTCAAAAGGCAAAAGGCTGCCAGCGCCTCTCAGGGTTTCACCAACGCGCCTGCCTCTCCCCGCGGATGTGCAAAAGCAGCGACTGCTCAGATTGTGAGACCAGGGGAGATGGCAGCCAGGCTCGGCGGGGGCCTGGAAACGCGCCGGCGCGGGCTGAGCAGCCCTCCTGCTGTCCCCCCAGCACGCCTGGAATCCCGGCCCTGAGAGGCTGAGGCAGGAGGATGCCTGCGAGCTCGAGGCCAGCCTGGGCTACAGAGACCCTGCCTCAAAAAAATTTCTTTTCCACTGTAGTTGGATTCGCTTGTTCAGCTGTGATTCCAGTCCCTGGTTTCCACCCAGCATCTCCAAAGGGTGGCTAGGGAAAGGCAGGCCTAGGTCTTGCCTTGGATTTGGGAATTTCTCCTTTTCTTTTTTGAGCATCTCACTATGTGGCCCAAATTGAATTTGAATTCATATCAGCCCTCCTGCCTCAGCCTCCCGGGTGCTGGGATTATAGGCATGCGCCACCAGGGTTGGCTTTTTCAGCTTTATTTAAGCTGTGAGAAGCCAAGCAGCAGTTCATGGCGAGGAGAGGGGGCTGTGTCATGGCCTCCCCAGGCAGGTTGGTGGTGGGAGAGTCTCAGTCACCCTAAAGCCCGACACCCCACCCCACCAGGCCTGACAGCAAGAAATGCTTCTTGTCATCTGTTGCAAGGTGGAGACAGGACAAGGAGTGTCTGAGCTCCTCTGCTGGCTCGTCCCAGGCCAGTCTGCCTAGGGGAATCACCGGGACCCCACCCTCCATCAGAGCTGGCCTGGCATCCTGTGCAGCCCAGCAAGTACCAGCAGCTTGCATGATAATGGATTTTAGAGCATTAAAAATAAAAGGGAATATTTTATCGTTGGTGGCTTTTCAGGCTGCCCTGGTGTGGGTCCAGCCAGGGAGGTGGTGACCATGGCACCTTCCCGTTCCTGGGCCAGCAGGAAGTCAGGTGACACTGCCCTCGTGGAAGGAGCCAAGCTGAGAACAGAGAGACTCTAATGGCTTCTGTCAGCCGCTGCAGCTACGCAGGCCTAGCCCGGGAGCATCTTTCCCTCTTCTGGCTTCCAGGTCCAGAGCCTTGAGGCCTTGGTGCGCCAGATGCTCCTCAGGTCTTGGAAGCACTCACAGAACACAAGTTTGAGGTTATCCTCTGCAACCTTGTCAGACCCTGGGTCAAGGTTAAAAACTTAGCTGGGGCGCTGGCTCACACCTGTAATCCTAGTATTTGGAGGCTGAGGCAGGAGGGTCTCTGTGATCAAAGCCAGTCTGAGCTACATATCAAGAACTGGTCTCAAGAACCAAAAATAAATTAATGTAATAAATCTGATTAATTTAAAATACAGCTTGACACTCCATGGTCTCAATCCCCAGCACTCGGGGGGCTGCTGTGTCCCCCTCTACCTGCCACCCTGTGCCACGTGCAGCCAGGGTGGATGGTGCAGGGAAGCAGGCTGTGCTCAGTGGAACAATGCACTATCTCTGGGCTCTTGCCAGGATGAAGTGGGTGGCAGGCGTGAGATTCCTTTCCCTGCCGGCTGGCTGCATGCTGGGTCCCCTCCCTGAGGTCCTGGCAGTGGCCCAGCATGTACAGTCTGGTAGTTGTCACTGGACAGCTCAGCAGCAGGAGTGTCTGCTGCCCGGTGGCAGAGACCCAACTATGTCAGGGACAAGGAGTCAGTGTTTTGGGATGGGAATGGCTTTTCTTGTAGTCATTCAACAAACCGGGCTCTTCCCACATGCTTCCTCTGTGCAGTGACTGTCCCTGGGGCCGGGGAGGCCACAGTGACAAGGACCGTGTCAGCTGGTGTTCCAGGGCAGCCTCTCGAGGAGGGATGCAGGGGATGCCCATCCAGCCTGTCAGAAGAATGGGCGCAAGGGCCTATAGGGCCAGTCAGGAGGCAGAGGGACAGGGCGGGGCAGGTGGGGGACCCGGCGGACAGGAAGGGCACAGGCCGGCTGTGCACTGCACTGGCCTCTTGCCCCCTGCTCTGCCCTGTGGCGCTCGCCTGCCGCACCCTCAGGTGCCTGCTTTGTCTTCCCCAGGGAGTCCCTGCGGAGGGCAGAGTGGGGTCACCTTGAGTCCGCCACACCCCTTCCCTAAACTTTTCAGCAAAAGCCGAGCATCCGAGTGGACTGTCCCCACCCAGCCCTTCCAGTGTTCTGACTGGATGAAGTTAGACACTGCATCTTCCTTCCCTCTAGATTGCTAGTTTCAGGTGCCTGCCGTGCCCTGTCTCCATGTCTCTCCCCTGCACCACACGTACAGTGGTACAGGGTGTTGACTGCGTAAGAGCCTCCAGCCAAGCAGGTGAGTGGAGGCTCAAATCGAGTCCACGCCTGGCCCGAGAAGCCATGGGCTCTCCTTGGCTTAAGGCTGTGTCTCTCCGGAGCGCAGGGTGCCTGGCTCTGTCTGGTTTGTCCTAACGTGTGGCATGGGCTGCCCCTGCCCACTCCGACTCTCCCATCTCCTCCCACCGTGGCGTCCTCACATGGCAGAGCCTCGAGCAGCATCTCCGTGCGGCCGGGGAGGGCGGCAGCTGCCTCTCCTTCGAGCGGACCTTGGTGCTTTTCCCCTCCTTATGGATGCTGCCAGCGCCTCAGAATTGCTCTGCTGTCATTAACACGCGGTGGGGTCAGATGGGGCTCGGCAGCCGAGGTGGCACCGAGGCTGAACACTGTGCACCCGCTCCGTGCCTGTGGTCTCTAATCAGAGGGGTGCCCGGCGGCAGTGGGGCCCTGGGGACTCGGCTGCTTCTCCTCCCGCAGCCCCTGCCACCCGCCCGCTGGCTGGCCTGGCACCTCAGGTGACCACAGGGACTCGGCCCTGTCGCAGGGCTCTGGAGACGGAACCCAGTGGTGATGGCCAAGCTTGGCTCTTAACCATGAGCAAGGCCTGGGAGCAGCTGGCTCTCCTGGGGCGCTCACCGGGTTGGTCCCAAAGAGGGGTGCCAGGCTCTCGCCTGGGAGGGTGAGGAAGCCACCCGGAGGGCTCAGGCTGTGCCTGCAGCCCCCTCCCCACTGCAGCCGCACCAGGGTCCCCAAGCACATGGCCCACCCCTGCGCTGTCACCCGCAGCACCTGCCAGGCCAGCAAGAGTTTACCTGAGGCTGCCCTGGCTTCTGGGACCTGCACTGTCATCATGTCAGGTGGGCCTGGAGGACAGGAGACAAGTGCTCTCTGGAGCAGCCCTCAGCCTGGAGCCTGGCACCACGGCTACCCTGCCCCTGCCGCCCCCAGGCTAAGTGGGGGACACAGCCAGAGCCCCTCTGAGATGGGCGGCTTGCTGAGCACTTCTGTGACAACCCTGGTGTCATATCCCTGCTCTGAGACCTCATAAGGGACTACTCAGCCTGGGATCTGCCTCAGTCCGTGACCGGCAAGGTGAGTGACCATGGCCCACCTAGCGCCCCGTCCTGCTGGGCTGCTGGCCACTGACCGCTTCTCAGCGCCCTCGGCAGTGCCTCCTCCAGCCTCATGGCAGCTGCTCTGTCTTCACACCCAGGACCCCAGGAGTCTGGAGGTCTTAGGGACAGATACCGTGCACCATCACTGAGCTCGGGAAGGACCACAGGACCACTTCCAGGACCACAGTCACACTGTTTCACTAAAGGACCAAACAGCAGAAATGCAGCAGCTAAGAGGGACTGGGCCGATCCCAAGCAGACCAATGCCTACATCGTCCCGGAGAGGCCCTAGGCTCGCTGCTCCAAACGCAGCCTCACCACTCGCCTGCTGACCAGCCACTGTGGCTCCCTGTCCCTGCCCTTCCCGACGGGACCTCGTTTTGTGGGTGGATTTTGTTTTTGAGACAGGGTCTCACTGTGTGTTCTCTGCTGGTCTTGAACTCACAGTGTAGCCTCAAATTCTTGGTGATCCTCCTGCCTCAGCCTCTGGAGGCTGGGGTTACAGATGCATGACACCACACCTCACCCAGGGATGGCCTTAAAGATCCTCCATCATCCAGGCTTATCCCAAGAGGCCCTCGAGCCTCCGGAGCAGTGCTGGGCTTTGGTCTCAGTTGCACAGGTGCAAGTCCTCCATCTGCAGTCCCCACTGTGGGTGATGATACTCACACCTATCATCATCTTAAGAACTTAAAATGCAGGGCCTTGGGAATCGACCATAAACCACTGAACTGTACACTTAAATACGCAGCTGTCAGGGCCGGGGGTTTAGCTCATCATCCTCACACACCTGTAATCCCAGCACTGGAGAGGCTGAGGCAGGAGGATTGTTGCTCAAAAAAAAAAGGAGCTATTTGTGGCACCTGATGGGGGCCAGGGATTTAGCTCAGTAGCATAAGCACCAGCCTGCAAGTTCGAGGTTGTGGGTTTGATCCCGGGTACCACCCCCCCCCCAAAAAAAACAAAAAACCAACAGGAAATAGGATGGGGTCACCACTGTTGGAAGAGTCCTCAAGCTGGCCCAGCACCAGGCCAGGCGCACAACAGGTGCCCAGTAGGTGACGGGAACACAGCCTGGGGGAATGTTCTGAGTACATGGGCTGGGGACACTGAGCTCCTAGTGCACAGGACAAGCAGCTGCCGTCTGTCCCACTGCAGGGCAGAATCTAGCCCTGCCTTCCCAGGGACACAAGAGGCCCTGGGGCCTGGCAGTGATTTGGGTGCTCAAAAGCCACCTTCTTAGACATCTGACCATCAGGTCTTCTTCACCCAGTCTCTTCCACAGCTGTGGTTTCAAACACATTCATAAACCCAGGGTGGTCACACACTCCTGTAATGTCAGCACTGGGGAGGCTGAGACAGGAGGATCACTGAGACCATCCTGGGCTACCTGGTGACTTCAAGACCAGCCTGAACTATATACAGTGAGACTTTGTCTCAAAAAAAAAAAAAAAACAAAAACCATCAAATATATTCATAAATTTTGGCAGGTTAAAATATTTACATACAGACCTACTAAAATTAAAACCTTACATTAAAATTTTAATTCATCCTAGCCTGTGGGAGGCTGAAGCGGGACAATTACAATTCAAGCCCAGCCTGGGGAACCTGGCACCTTAGGGAGAGCCTGTCTGAAAATTAAAAAAAAGAAAAAAGAACTAGTGATGTAGCTGAGCGTGAAGGCCCTAGCTTTAGTCTCTAGTACAGAAATAAGTATTGCCGGGCGTGGTCGCTCAAGTCTGTAATCCCAGCACTCGGGAGGCTGAGGCAGGAGGATCATTGCAAGTTTGAGACCAGCCTGAGCTATATAGTGAGCTCGAGGCCAGCCTGAACTGCATAGTGAGACCCCGTCTCAAAATGACCAAAAAAAAAAAAAAAAGTATTAATTCATCCGAAGAAAATATATAGTCCCACTGGTCGCTCACTGGTCAAATTTTGTGGTTCAAGTTGGATTTGTTTTATATTTAAAAGCAATAAAAATGTTAAGAGTGAAGGAAGAAAGAAAGAAAGAGAAAGAAAAGGAGCCAGGCCCAAGCCCCGCAGCAAGGCCTCCTGGCCAGGTCCTCACGCTGGCGCCCTCCCGGAAGCCCCGCACCTCTGTCCCCGTGTCGCCGGTGGCAGCCCCCAGCCCCTGTGCTGCGCCGTGCATGGGCGACGCTCCCGCGTTCCAGGCCCCGGGAACCCGCTTCAAACAGAACCTGTGGCCCAGGGGGCGACGCTTCGGGTCCCGCCCCGGCTCCCAGGGCGCGGCGAGGCTGAGCAGACCGGCGGGGTGTCCCGGGCGGGTCCCCCTCCTGCTCCCCAGGGCAGGGTTGGGCCTGGCGCCGTCACCTGCCCCGCTGCCCGAGGAGGCGCGCAGCCCCGGTGCTGCCGGGAGCCCAGGGGTCTCGACCCGGGTGGGGCGCAGAAGGGCTCGGCGCGGCGGGCAAGGGTGACGGGGTGGTGATCGACCCCACCCGGGCCGCAAGGCTCTCCCTAGGGACTCGAGGTGGCCCTGGGGGGGCTCACATTGACCTCCCCACCTTCCCCAGGGGCGATGAGGCCGGAACCCCGCCAGGCGGGGTGCACTGCGGGGGACCCTGGCACTCAGCCCCCGGGGTGGGGTTTCTTCTGCATGTGTGTATTTTTGGCACACGCTGCCCCCTAAACGAGTGCCCACGCCGTGTTCCCCCCAACCACGGGGACCCCCAGTGGGGCTGGGGGACAGGCGCAGGTGGGGGGCGCGCGGCCCGGACCATCGCGGCCGCCACCACCCCGTGCCCAGCCTTCGGAGCCGCGTCCCCACGCCCGCCACGCGCGCGCACACTCGCACTCACGCGCACACTCGCGCTCACGCGGCGCGCAGACCCCGCCCGGCCCGCCCCGCCCCGGCCCTGCGCGCGGCCCGGGGGGCGGGCGGGAGGCGGCGGCTCGGGCACATTTGATTTTCCCGCAGCCCGGGAGCCCCGAGCCCGGGCCGGCCGAGGAGGGGCGCTCGCAGGGCCGCCCGCGCAGAGACCCCTTCCGGCGCGGCGCAGGCGGGGTGCCGGCTCTGCGCTCCCCCACCGCCTCCGCGTGCGCCCCTCCTTTCCCGCTCCCCCTCGGCGCCCCCTCTCCTCCCGCCCACACCCCGCCCCCGCGCCCTCTGCCCCGGCGCCCCGTCCCGCCCCGCGCCCCCCTTCCCACGCCCCCTCCGCGCGCGCCTCCCCGCCCGCCCTGCGCCGGCTCCGGAGTTGGGGGGAGCCCGGGGCCCCATCGCGCGGGAGGAGGAGGAGGAGGCGTGCGCAGCGCAGGAGCTGACTGGGGCCGGGGGCGCCGTGGGTGATGGAGCAGCCCGAGGACATGGCGTCGCTGAGCGAGTTCGACTCCTTGGCAGGCAGCATCCCGGCCACCAAGGTGGAGATCACCGTGTCCTGCAGGTGAGCCCCTCTGTCCCGCCCCTGGCCCCCGAGCTCACGGCTGCCCCTGGCCCCGCAGGCGCGAGGCCCCTTCCTGAATGTCCCCTCCTCCTGGGGACCCCCTCCCTGCCCAGCTGCGAGTGGTGATGGCAGGTGGGAAGTCAGGTGGGGGTCAGAGCCCGGAAAGTTTGTGTTCCGGGCTGTTGCTTCAGGACAGAAGCGAGGCACCCCCAACCAAGGTAACCCCAACCTGAGTCCAGAGCCTCGTGGGGAAGGGGAGATGTGAGAGGCTGCCCCGGGGTCTCTGCTCAGGCTGCTTCCCGTGACCCCCTGGGTCAATCCAGAGGTGAGGGATTTGCTCCATCCTTGCCAGCAACCCAGTCTCGGCCTCTGTGCCCCGATTTCCCTCCCCAGCACCCGTATCCTCGCCTCTCCTGCCACCCCTGTGGTCCTGACCCCAGGATTCCGAAGCCTTCCTTCCCCTCCAGACCCAGGAAGGGGCGGCATGGCTTGCTCATTCCTGCCCAGGTGTGGGAACCTGTCCCAGGGGAAGGTGGCGTTCCTTTCAAAAACAATAACTTGGGTAAAAAATGTTAAGCCAAAGAAATGGGACCCTGAAATTTCAAGATCTGGCAGAGGAAGAGTAGGAGTGTTTTAGGGTCTGCCACCCCCAAATCCTTAGTCATACCCTTCTGAGGACTGGGTTTCTCTGGGATCAGGGAAGTAGGGGTTAGGGTGGGATCCACTCAGTGGCTGTCCAGGGGCACTGCTTTCCTGACACACAGAGAGGCCTTGACACCCAGGCACCTTCCACCTTGAGGTCCCCCAGATGCCACCTCCCCCGAGTGAGCTGTGTTCCCATCCCCAAGCCCTTTCTTCCAAGCTGATCTCCGGCCAGACTCGGCTCTGTGTGAAAAGTTGGGACACCTGGGAGTCGGAGGTAGAGCTGGACATTCTGGGCCGGGCAGTGTCCCCCTGAGGGCCATATGGTGTTACAGCTCTGCTGTCACCATGCTGGGGATTCTGGAGAGTCCCTGGTTCCTTCCTCACCTCCCCAGCCAGCTGCCAAGCTGCCGGTCCCCTCCGGGGCCCTCCCAGCTGTCAGTGGTGCACTGCTCCTCCCTAGACCCTCCCGTTCCCTGCCCCAACAGGCCTCGCTCCCCTCCTCCATGTCCCCTGTCCTGGAAGGAAGGTGTCCTCTCACCCCAAGACACCAGCTTGAATCACTTGGCCCAGGGTTCAGGGTCTCTTGCATGCTGAGGACCTGCCCTCCAAAGGTATCTCAGGGTTCACACTCGGCCCCCATCTCGAGCAGGGAGTGGAGGAGACAGGACAGGTGATAGTGTGGCATGTGGAGGTGGGCATCTTGTAAAGGAGTCCCGGAGTCATCGCTTGGGCGCCCTGGAAGCAGCAGTTTGCCCGTTTGTCACGCATATACCTGTCCTCAGGAAGGTCCTTGTCTGCTGAGGCTTGGAACTTGGCCTGGCAGGTCGGCCCTCGGGCTTGGCAGGGAGGGGCGCAGGAGCCCCAAGCACTGGGCGTCCGGCGCTGCACCTGCTTGCAGAGCAGTTGGTGCTTGCTAAGCAGCCACGATGATTACCTGGGGATGCTTGGCCCGGCCTCTTGGCTCCCTGGAAGTGGCCATGTCCAGAGAATGTACCTGCCTGAGCAAAGGGATGCCTGGGGTCGTGTCTGTCTCTGAAGGATGTGGCACTGGGGTTGAGCTGGGTGTCCATGCTGTCTTAGGGGGTGACATCCAACATCCGTCAGCCCGAGGAGCACCTGGTCCTCCTCCGGCTCTCCAGGAAGTCAGCTGATAGGGCACGGATTTTGATGAGGGGCCATCAGGAGGGAGGAGTTGCTGGGACAGGTGGGAAGTTACAGGGACAGTTTGGGGGCCCTGAAATTGTAGCTCCATCTCAGGTTCCACAGGAGCCTGCTGGTGCACTCTCTGGCTTGCAGGAGTCGGGGGCGGGCGGGGGAGAGAGAGGGGCAGCGTGGTTTTCTCCAGCACTGTCCTTGCTCTGGACACCAGTTACACTCCAGTCTCTTTCCCTGGCTGCCTGGGGGCAGACGAGGCAGCCCTGAGCATCTAGGAGACTGCTGCTGGTGGGCAGGGAACATCGGGGTGGGCAGAAGGGCCGGGCCTGGGCTGCAGGGGTTGAGGGATCCCCCTTCCATCACCTTCCCCCTCTGCTCCCCCAAAGGTTCCTGCCATCCCTTCGGCCCCAGGAGCTACCTGCTCTCCCTGGGGAGGACCCAGCCACTTGCTGGGCCTGGCCCGGGTCCTTCCCACAGTGGGCACAGGGTCCACCAGGCTCTGGGAAGGCAGAGGACCACACAGCATGGTGATGCCGGGGGCTGACATGGATAATCCAGAGTCATTTTTCCTGACTTTCCTGAAAACTCGAGGTTTACTGAAAATTAGAGAGGCTTTGGTTGTTTGACACAGTGGTTAGGCATGGGAGCCCAGGCATTTGTTCACTGTGTTCAAACCAGCACCGGGGAAGCTACGACGTAGCCTTTTCATGCCTCAGTTTCCCCCTCTGTAAAAGAAGCATAACACTCCTTATCAGGTGTGAGGATTTATCCATGGCTATAGGTTTAGGTGATCTATCCTTTGACACCCCGAGGTAAATAAAGACCATTTCTGTAGCTGGGTACCACGGTTTGTGTGGGTTCTGGGGACATAAGAGGTAGTTTTTTGTGTGTGTTTTTGGGTTTTGCGACCGGGTCTCGCCATGTGGTTCAAGTTGGTCTTGAACTTACTGTGTTGTCCACACCAGCCTCCAGCTTGTGGCGATACTCCTGCTTCAGCCTCCTAAGTGCTGGGATTCTGTAAGGCCACCATGCCCGGCTTAGAGATGGTTCTGAGGATGAATCGGACAGATGGTTTGTGCTGCTAGACGTCAGTAGATGTTCAAGAAAACACGACTTGAAGGACCCTTCTCTTTGGGTCCTCCAGTGGTCGGTCCCAGACCTTTCCTGACTCCACTGCCCACCTGCAGACCCTGTCAAGTCTTCCCCGTCCGCTGTCCCCTTCCCCGGCCTCCTTAGGTTCCAGGTCTCTCTCTGCACCACTACCTCTGAGGCAGGGATCTGGGCCAGCGTGTTGGTGAGGAGAAAGATCTGCGTGTTTATGTAACAGAGACCTTGGCCCTGGGGCAGGGTCCTCCGGAAAAGCTGGCACGAATCCACAGGGGCACAGAGTGCCCTGTCCCACGGAAGGGAGGTAGGGAGAGGCTGGTGGCCGCCCGGAATCTCCGGAGGCAGCCTCTGCCCCCACACAGGGATGGACTGGGGGCAGCTGCCATCTCCAGGGGCGGGATCCTGCCACCCTGCCCTGGGCCTCTCTCCCGGGTGTGGCTTTGCTCTGCTCTGAGCACTTTCTCCTGAAAGGCTGGGAGGAGCCACGGTGACCAAGGGCCTGGCGGCCAGCAAAGCCAGCGCCACGAAAAGAGGCCCCTTTAACCACAGACTGTGCCAAGGTGCTGTGTGTCACCAGGCCAGGGCAGTGACGCTGGCACAGTACGGAGTGCTTATGACTCCCTAGGCGCTTGGCCTCTCGACGGGGCTGGGTCAGGCCCGGTTCTGCTGATCCAGCCCAGGTCCCGGCTCACCCTGCTCAGGACTCAGTAGCTGACAGCTAGGTGTCCTCGGGGCTGTCATCTCAGCCAGGGCTGCTGGTTGTTGGCAGAATTCAGTGCCTCTCAGCAGCAGCAGCAGCCGGCTGACAACCATGTTCTCCTGCTGGCTGTGGACAGAGTAACTCGGCCTCAGCTTTGAGGGGCTGTTCCCAGGTCCCGCCGGGTGGTCCTTTCCCGGGACTTCAAAGCCAGAGGGACGCAAATGCCCCGTGCCCCAGCAGTCCCAGGCCACAACAGTAAACCTGTGGTCACGAAAGCCAGCGGCCTTTGCATCTGCTAACCCAGATGCCTGGGCAACAGCCCCATGCCTGCTCGCCCCCGGGGAAAAGGGACTGACTGTCCCCCTGTTCTTTGGGGCTGGGCATCTTAGTACCATACCCTGCCAGAGCGAGTGTGCTCGGAGATGTGAACCCCCCCCCCCACCACGGTTACGGAGCCAGTGCGTTTCCAGAGAGGAAGATCCAAGATCCAAGTCCAGTTTGCCTGGACCTCAGAACCTTGAAGGGGTTGGGGCTGGGGTCTCTATGGAGACCATACATGGGACCTGGATACCAACGATGACCCGGGGGGAGGTGGCCGTCCTCAGGCCAGGGGCGGCAGCTCAGCATCCCCCGTCACATCTGCAGTCTCCCTGCGCAGGCCCGAGGTCTCTGATGGAGATGACCCACCTTTGGGTGTGCAGGGCAGGGAGAAAACCAGGAAAGGAGGCCCTCCGAGGCGGAGGGGAGTAGTGTTTGTTAGGAACGCTTCCGGTGGAAGAAACAAGCAAAGCTGGCTGGGTTAGCTTGGGCCTGAGAGATTCGGTTTTCTCCCATCACAGTGAGTCTGGGGCTGAGCCATGTCGGGCTGTTTCATCAGCTCACTTCACCACGGAGGACCCAACTACCTTCTCCTGTGCTGTCACACCCAGTGAGGCAGGTCTCCTTCCATTGCGGGGCTGCCTCCGCACCAGCTATCCAACCTCATCCAAGGATAGGAAACAAGACATGGAGTTAAAGTTGTTTTAATTGAAAAGCACAATCCTTCCCAAGACCTCTTAGCAGATTTTCCTTTCTGTTTCAGTGAGCAAAGCTGATCTGTGCTAACCCTAGCCAAAAGACAGGGGTCGTTGTCTGGGGTTTCAAGAGTCTGCATGGGATCTGGATTCTGCCAGCAGGAAGAGTGGGGAAGGTTAGGGGTTAGGGCTTCTGCACCTGGGAAGCTGTCCACGTGTCCCCACGGGCTGGCTGGGCTCCCTGGAGTAGAAGAGCCCTGGGGTTGGCATCTCGGGGCCTGGCTCCTTGCGTCTTCCTGTAGGCGTTGAGCTGGCTCATCCGGACCCCTGACCACCTGTCTTTCTGTTCACTTGTCGGGCAAGGAAAAGGCTTAGTGTGGCTCCAGGACAGCCGGGTGCCTCTGTCTCCAGACCCCTTCTGTCTGCGCCCTTGCTGGGCACCCAGGGGTCTCAGCAGGGCGCTCAGGGCCTTGGGCTGTTGATGCTTCCTGGCCCAGCCCCGGCAGTCGGGCAGCTCCTGGCTTCCTTTCTCTGACCCCCAGCCTCCGCGTGTCTGTTAGGGTTCCATCTGGATCCTCCCCCACTGTGAGTGGGTCTCATGCACCTCTAGGCGGGGCTTTTGGGGCACGCCTGCGTTCCTGGGCTTACCGCTGACTTGCTGCTGAGAGCTGGGGTCACGGCGGCTGGAGGGTTCATCTCCCTCCCGGCTGCTCCTCCTCTCTCTGCTTCCTGCCCCCCGTGCCCTGGGCGGCTGCCCCTCGCCAGGGAGCCAGCTGACGGTGGACTGAACCATGAGCCAAGATAAACGTTTCCTTTTTTTTACTTGTGGGCATCGGGATTTTGTCCAAACAGCAAGCGAGGTAACTAAGATGCTGTCCATCTTTACAATGGTGGGAGACACTGGCTGTGCCCACACCCTGTCCACTGTTATGCAGACGGGAGAGATGAAGTCTCTGAACAAGACAAACTCTTTTCCCTTGTGGGACTCGGGAGGGATGGGGTGACCACAGCCACACTTTTAAAATTCAGCAGTGATGTCTGACAAGGATGAATGCAAGGAAGTTCACTGTTGGAGATACCTTGGACAGGACAGGCACGTGAAACTGAGCTGAGATCCAAATGGAGGCTCGGAAGGAAGGATGAATGGCGAGTGCAAAGGCCCTGTGGCAGGAAAGACCTCGAGATGCTTGCCAAACTGCAGGGAGACCGTGGTGGCTGGAGCAGCGTTTGATGGGGAACAGAAGAGGAGGGATCAGAGGAAGCTGGCACACAGCAGCCTAGGGAGCTATGTGGAGGAATTTGATATATTATTATTATTTTTTAAAATTTTTAAAAAATTTTATTTAAGGAGAAAAAGAGAAAAAAAGCAGAAAAAGGGTACAAGTTATACAGACTTTCAGAAAAAAAATAAACAGGAAATCACTAGTTAATGGATTACATATCATCTTAGAAATATTTGTTCAAGTTACAAAATTAAAGCATATAAAGTGGACATTCAAACAGTGAGACTGCAAACAGTTCTGTTCAATGATCCAACAAAACTCAGTAATATCATTGTCTATCTTATACACTTAAATATACATGCAGTTATATCGTTTAGAGCACTTTCTTTTCCTCTCTTTTGTACAATGACTATTACACATTTTGGGTTTCATTGCTCCCACGGTTCTTGTTACTTTTTTGGAAGAGGGTAAAACCAAATGTGACATAACAGAACTGAGTCGGTCAAATCAAAAGGGTGGACATAATAGATAATGTAAAAACGTAATACAAGGTGATCAAGAATGGTTACCATAATGCCTCCCGCTATCTCTAATAGAATTGCCTATACCATCAGTTATAATAAAATTGAACAAAATAGTAAAGAACGAAACCAACAAAACCAAAACATTGGACATTACAGGTCTTCAAAAGTAGATAATAGTCAACCAGAATGGGGCGTCATAATGAATCCCACTATCTTCACAGCTGTTGCCTAAACTTTCGAACCTGGTACTATGAATTTGATATATTATTCTAACAGCATTTCGGATGGAGAGGGATAAATAGATTGTGCTCTGGTTCCCGTCAAGAGAGTGGACCAGAGAGGGTGAGGGGAGGCAGGAATTGAATGGTGTTGCTAGCTGGGCCCTGGGGGGTCTCTGGCAGGGACAGTAGGAGTAGAGGGAGCACGGGGAAGTGTGGACAGATTTGGGGAGCATTTTGGAAGGAGGGCCCTTCCAAAGGACGTGGTGAGGAAGGGAGAGAGAAATGGAGGTGACCCCTGCCTTTCTGCTTCCCGTCTGGTCTGAGCAGCAGGTGGGCAGCGCCAGGCACAGGGAGGAGGCTGGGACAGAGCAGCCGTGCAGAGTGACACACCACCGGGTGACCTTGTGGGGGACCCCGCCTGGCTGCTCAGAGGCTGGAGTGCATGCTCTTTGCTTGGCCACATTGAAGGGGACAATTACGGCAACAGTGAAGCCTTCAGCAGGTCAGCAGCTCTGTTTTTTTTTTTTTTTTTTTTTTTTTTTTTTTTTAATCAGGGTCTTGCTGTGCTGTTCAGGTTGACCTGAACTCACTGTGTTGTGGCCCAGGCTCCCGGGGACCCTTCTGCCTCAGCCTCCCTTGAGCATATGCCACCATGCCCGGCTGCTAGGCAGTTATTTAAGCCCTGGGAAAATTGCCTTTTACACCTTGGTGAGGGTGTGTGGCAGGAACAGGGACCCTGCTACCCACAGGGCTAAGGGGGACCCTGAATTCTGGTGATGTGTGTGGTCTCTGCTCACCTCCAGAGGGCTGGAGCTGCAGAGTTTGAGGAGAGTGCAGGCGACCCAACCCCCTGCCTGGCATGAATCGGGTGGCACGGGTTCACACCCAGCAGAAGACCCCATGGGGGTCACACACGTGATTAGTATTGCCTCTCCCAGCCGCTTGCCAGATGTGTGATCCTGAGTAGCTGTTCCATAGAGAGACGGGCGGTGCCGGAGGGACCCTTAGATCCTGGCTTCTGCTCCAAGCTGCAAATCCTGCGGGTTCTGCTCCAGCTGGGCGTAGGGAGCAGGGAGGAGAGGAAGTGGGGCTCCCCTAGGTGCTGGCCTTTCCTGAGCACCTCCTGTACACCGGGTGCTACGGTGCTCCTTACCGCTTTAAAGGCTTTGCATATGTGATCCCAGCAAACCCCTGGGGATACTGAGCACTGAGGTGCAGAGGGGTTAAGTGACTTGCCTGAGATCACACAGCTAGAGTGGGGCACGGCTGGTAGGGGACCCAGCTTTTGGGCTAGAAATCTGGGCTCTCAGAGCTTCACACCCCAGAAGCTGGGGAGGTGCCAGGGTGGGTCCGGAAGAAGAGAAATCGGTTTCTTCCTCGGCCTTTGAAACCTCTCGGATCTCTGTGGGATCTGTGAGTGTGCTCTGAGTGAACACATCTGTGCGTGCAAATCCACATCGCATCCACCCAGAGTTGAGGGGTGCGCGGCCCCGTCTGAGGGTCCATGGAAAGGTGAGGTACCGTTACTTCCTGTGCCCTCATCTGTTCAGCCACCAGGGTGCTGTCCGGAGCATCCGTGTGGCACAGTGGGCTTGTGCAGGGGTGAGGAGGGAGAGGTGAGGCTCACGTCACCCGGCATCTCGGACCTGGGCCCCCAGCCCACCCCACCTCTCTAGACCTCTCCCAGGGCGGGTGTCGCCTGCCCCCTCATCTTGCCTTCCCAGTGCTTTCTGCCTGGCTGGGGCCTGGGTGACCCCTGACCTCACAGTCCAGTGGGTGGCTGTCCCCACCGCCCGCTCTGAATTGAGATGCTTCCTCAGGGGAAGCAGAGCAGAGGGGCCCGCTCTGCTTCCTGGCCTTGATTTCGGAACAAAAGAAGCCAAACTCCAGGCTGCTGGGCGGATACCTGAAGGTTTTTGTGCTCTTTTGGTGGAAGAAAATATACCTTTCCTGTTGGGAAAAAATGTCCTTTGAGCTCTCCCAAAGCAGAAATGGGGGAGAAAGCACTTGCCGACTGGTGTCACCTTCTGTTCTGAGGCATCCTGTCTTCTGCGGGTACCGAGACAGCACCCCCGGCCCTAGCTGCACAGCTGGGCACCCGCCAGGCTCCAGGGGGTGGTTGTCTGCAGCTGAGGAGTCTCACATGTGGGCTCCGAGCTGACCCTGTGTCACTTCATCTGAGGCTGTCTCATGGGGACAGCTACTGGGTTCCCACAGGCCACGGCTCTCTTGGGGACCTCCATGCAGCGGGGTGACTCACACGGTGGTCTGGCCCGCACTGGCATCTGCATTCCCCACTTGTTGGCGCTAGGCTCTGCTCCGTCTGTTGTATTTGGCATGTGCCGCAGGTCGGGACCGGGTGGCGGGGTTGATTCTGGGGTCCGGTTGCCCAACAAGCTGTCACTGCTGAGGGCTTCGGTGACAATGATGGTGACTCAGGGCCTTTCTGTCTCTGCCACTGCTGTGGGGCATGGTCCCTTCCTCTTCCTGGCCTCAGTTTCCCCCTCAGCCTTGGCCGGCTTCCCCAGAGCAGAGGAAACCACGGAGTAAACTTAGGCTTTGCAAGAGTGAGGGGCTAGGGGGTGCATTTTGAATACATTGATTGATTGATGGTTGATTGATTGGGAAGAGGAGTAATGAAAGGAGACTCCCTAGAAAGGACGTGGCTGCAGAGAGGCCCGGGGCCCAGGGCCTCAGATGGCACCTGGGGCAGGACAAGCTGAGGCCCTGGTGAGGGTGCTGGGAGGGCAGTGGCAGCTTCCGCAGGGCGTCTGGAGCTGGAGGCCTGCAGTTGAGGAGCCTCATGAAGTTCGCCCTCCAGGCCGCCTGCCCTTCCTGCCTGGCCTGAGGTCGGGCCAGAAGCAGCCTCGGGGCAGGGGCGCCTGCACCCAGCCCCTGCCACCCCGCCCGCCTGGTAACTCTTCTCTCTCCTCTTTCAGGAACCTCTTGGATAAAGACATGTTTTCCAAGTCTGACCCACGTAAGTCCCCCTGCCATGGTAGTGACTGACCGGGGCAGTGCCCGGTGCACCCCTGGCTGTGTTCCCAGCATGTCGGGGCTGCTGAATGCTCCAGAGAAGGAGGACCTGGGACGCCCCAGAACCACACAGTGGGCTGGGGAGGGTTGACCAGAGCACTTCCAAGACCGAGGGGCTGTGGTCTGGTGAGACGGGCGGTGCTTTGGGGTGCAGGGCTCTCGCCCTGACCGGGGCTGCCCATGCCTGCAACTTTAGTTAGGCTGCTCCTGAGCCTCAGGTTCCCCATCGGTGAAGCAGAGACCTCACTGGTGCCCTCTCCAGACATAGCCCCTCCTCCAGGCTGCTCTGGAATCGGGGCATCCAGGACTGACTTTGGTCAGGGCCAGCGGCCAGACTCGGGTCCCTCCCGCCCAGCCCACAGGAGCACCCCAGTCACAACCCCACTCGCTCCCTCTGGGCCTGGCCTGCGTGGTAACGCGCCTCTCTCTCCTCCCACAGTGTGTGTCATGTACACTCAAGGCATGGAGAACAAGCAGTGGCGGGAGGTAGGTACGCCCCTTTCCCATGAGTCCCCCAGATCTCCCGGAGACCCCACAGGAAGTGTTCTGCTGGCCGAACCAGAGGTAGAGGGTGGGCGTCACAAGGCTGAGGACAGGGTGAGAGGTCCCTAACCTGGGGAAGCCCTGCTTTGAGGGTCTGAGGGGCAGCGGGGAGCCCAGGTGCCTTGTGATTGTCTTTGTGGCCTGGGCTGTGAGCACTTCATGGGGCCCCAAATCTCATCTGCTGCTGAACCCCTTCCTGCTGTGTTTCTGAGCCCTGCTCTGTGAACTCAGGTCCCTTCAGGGTGTGTGAGAGAGGACCATGGAGACCTCCCACCATCATGCCCAGACTCCTCCTGCCCCAGGGCCTTTGTACGGACTTCCACCTGGCCCTGCGGCCCCTCCATGAGTGCTTTGGATCTTGATTCTGACGTCCCTCTGTGGAGTCCCTCACTGTCCCCCAGCCTAACACAGAGACACCCACCCCAGCTCTTACTCCCCTCCCCTGCTTTTCATCTCTGTCACCCGTCATGCTCTGTGTTAGACCCTTGTCCTCCATGGGCCCCTGGAAGTAAGGCGCTCACCGACTTCATCCGCTGTTTTGAGCTCCGGAGTCTGAGCTCAGCCTGCAGCAGCCGCTTCATAAGTGTCTGCTCAAGGAGTGGCTGGGTTGGGAAGGGGAGCCGCGGTGTCTCTTTCCTCTTGCACCCTGCGCTGCACCGAGCTCCGGTGGGAAAGGAGGGGGAGCGGGTGGGAGCCGGTGAGGGCTCCCGGGAGTCCCCGCTCCTCCCCTCTCCTGGAGGAGTGGGGACCTGGAGGCCAGGGGGCGTGCAGGACGTAGCTTCTTGCCTGGTGGGAGGTGCCGCCAGCTTGCTGGGCCTCAGAGCTGAAGTGGGTATCCTGTGGTCCTCACGGCCGCACGGGTGGCTGCTCCTTCTGGTGACCGGAAGAGACTCGTGCATGGGACAGGAGGGGCCTGGACGGAGGCTGTGGCCCTCTTGGCCTCGGCTGCCCCATCCCATCCCCCTGCCCATCACTCCGCCATGGCTCCCGTTGGAGACTTGGCTGGGGCGTCACCAGCCCCACCCTGTCCCATGCCAGACATAGCAGGAGTAAGAGGCCGAGAGGAGTGAATTCGAGCTAGAAAACCCACAGGAACTATTCCAGAGGGTCTGGCCGAAGTGACATTTGCATCTTCTCCCGGATGCTGAGCCACTGAAGCTCAAACCAGATTGCTGGGAAACGTTTAGCCTACTTAAGTGAACTAATTACTGGTGAAGCCTTCAGCCGAGCTTCCCGGGAACCAGGAATGTGCTAATGTCCTAGTGATTCAGAGGAAGTCGGGAAGGGCCTCTGCCAGGGGCGCTGCTGGGCAGACGTTAATTATGTTCTGTAACTGAGACTTGGGTTCCACGTGGGCGCTGTCCAAGCCCTGCTACTGCACGCACCCCGGGGTGGCCCGGCTGTCACCTGGAGCCCGAGGCTGCACCCTTTTGGCAGGGGGACCTGGATCCCCGTGCGGGGGAGACACGGGATGTGCGGAGCCTAAGGAATGGAAGAGAATCGAAGCAGGGCTGGCAGAAGGGTGGGAGGGTGAGGGAGCTGGAGTCACAGCCAGGAGGCTTCACTGGGCGAAGCCGTTCTGACAGGTCATTGGGGTTTTTCAAATGACATTTGAATGTACATAGAAGCCGTCTGGCTGTCTGGCGTGGGGGTGCGGGCGTGCGAGGTTTTGAAATGCATTGCAGAGTGGGGGGTGGGGGAACTGTCGGCCTCCTCTGGCTCAGCCTCCTGCTCCAGCAGAGAGGGAGGACTGGCCTTGGGTGGTGGAGTTGGGGTGCAGGGACGCACTTGGAGGACCTCAGTGAGGTGCACCAGTGAAGGTCGCGGTATTTAGAGCCACAGAGGGAGGCCGGGAGGACCTGGTCGCTCAGAGCCTGTGTAGTTGAGGAATGGAATAAAGGGGTGAGAGTATGTTGGTCAGCTTCCTGTCTCTGTAACAAAATACCTGAGATGCTGATGTGCAGAGACGAAAGGTTTGCAGTGTTGGAGGGCCTAGTCCATGGTCAGCTGACCCCATGGCTTTGAGCTTGTGGTGGGGATCAGAACTACTCACATCAGCAGCTGGGAGAAAGAAGGGACTGGGGTCCCAGTGAGCCCGCCAAAGGTCACCTCCTTTCTCGGCCTCTCCCTGGGCCCCACCTCCCCAGGGCACCACCCTGAGGACCAAGCCTTTAGCTCGAGTCAGGGACACTCAGGGTTTGAGTGAACTATGGTAACAGGGTCTAAGGGGACTGGGAGACCAGGGAGTGATGGGTGGCAGCTGTGGGGCTGTGGCCACCGCAAGCCTGGGGCCGTATGAGGGGTGATTTCTGGGGCTCCTAGAAGGATGCTGGAGAGGGCTGGGGCCTTCATGGAGGACATGGTCAGTCACAGCCACTTCCCTTCCTGCATGGGTCCCTGAGCTGTCTTCCCCACGCACAGAGCAGTGAGAAACAAGGCTGGACACAGATCGCCTCTCTGGGCCCAGCGTCTTGGCCCGGAGCGAATCCTGTGACCAGCAGGTCAGGCAAGAGCTCGCTTCTCCGGGTTCTCCGGTCTGGGCCAGGCGAGTGGCAGCTGCTCTGGGGGGCCTGGCTGCCATGTTTCAGCTGATTTTAACCACTTGGGTCATTTTGATGCCTTTTGAGAAATCTCCATCTTCCCAGCACCTAAATCTGTCACTACATTTTATGAGAATTGACTCAAGATGTAATTTTAGCCCAGGAAATTGAGCACTATTTGCATTACGGCCTGCCGGGGCCTCTGTGCGTCCTGGGAAGGCAAAACGCCTGGGGAAAGAGTTCCAGGCGTGCTGCCCCTGCGAGACAGACACCCCAGAAGCCTTCCTGGGCCTCCTCTTGATAGGGGTGACAGTCACTATCCCTGCCTCACCAGGGTCTGTTTTGGGGCTGAGGACCCCGTGGTAAGGCAGAGATGGGTCATAGACTCTTAGGGAACTGTGAAATCTTAGGGTATCAGGCTGATAACCACACAGTGTCTGTGGCCCCAGCAATCGCACCTCCTAATTCCCACTCCATCCGCGTTTGAGCTGCCGCAGCCGTTTAATGTGTCCACACCAGCTCAGAGTGAGCATTTGTCTACAGATACTCAGACCGACTTCCCAGGGCGGCTCTCTGGGGCTTCTGTTCCACTTTGCTCAGGGTATGTGTGTTTCACACAGTCTCAGTCTGTTCTCACTGCTATAACAAAAATGCTACATCCCAGGAAAGCTTAGGAACCCCAGATAGTTACCTCTAGGCTCTGGCGGCTGGGAAGGCCGACGTCAGGGCGGCAGCAGGGGCAGGTCCTGTGAGGCCAGCTCTTCCTAGGCCCACGGCGAGGCGGTTCCTTCTCGCAGTATCCTTGCAGAGCCACCCCTGCGCCCCCCACTCATGACCTCATCACCCCGAGGGCCCCACCTCCAGGTGTCACGCGGGCTAAGGTTCCAGCCTGGATCTGGGCAGGATACCAGCTTCACACCCTGAAAGATAGGACTGTCCCCAGAGCTCATGTCCCCTTCAGAGCAGGACCAATAGCAACAGCACCTGACACCACACCGAGCTCTGCCCCCTGTGTGCAGTAGCTCACTCCTTGCCCAAGCAGCCCCGGAGCTCAGTGCTGGGGTGCACCACTCATTTGTATGCCTGAGGCCCTGGGCTTGCTCTTTAGCACGCAGCTCCCAAAACAGTTACCATGGCTACCCCTGAACCTCAGGGAGGAGGAGACGGGGCTCTTTTTGTCCTTATTTCCGGTCCCTTTTCCAAGCCGGGCGTTCTGTTCTGAGCGCATCGGAGCTGGGTCCTGGGGCTTCCCAGGCTGTGAGCAGGGACCGTCTTGCTCCCCACTTCTGGGCTGGGCACCATTTGTGCCTGTCACCGGGAGCCGGACGCTCCTCGATTTACAGCGGGCGTCCACCGACCTTCTCAGGAGATGGTCGCAGCTGTCTTCAGACTGAGTCTGGGGTGTCCTATGTCTTCCACACACAATTTGCCGTCCAAGCAGGATCCTCCCAGCTCGGACTTGGGGATGAGTTTTCGGACCTGAATGTGTTCATCCCCGTGGTGATGTTGGCAGGTGGTCTCGGTGCGGGAATTGTACCTCTGGCGTCTCACCCCCGCCTCCCGGCCTCGTCAGCCAGGGTCATCATCCACGTGTGAGACAAGGAGTTGAGCGGGATGCGTGTGGCCCTTTGTTAGAGCCCTCTCCCCAGGGCTCTCGCTGTTCTCGCTGACCCCTGTTCTCTCGCTGACCCTTGGGACAGGCTGTCCAGCCACCTCGGTTCTGCAGAGTTTTGTTGTAATCCATCCTGACTTTCTTGATCTGGCCCCAGGATTCCTGAGTGACAGCTGAACGCCTTGGCAGATGAGACCCAGGTTCCCGTCCCAGCCCCAAGAAGTGATTTGTCTTTTCCAGGTCTCAGTTTACTTATCCATAAAATGAAGTTAGGAGTTTGTAACCAAGGCCATGCTCTTAGAAACACCTGGAAATACCGACTGCCATGTGCTGTTGTCATAGAAGGATGGCCTCCCTTGGAGACCCTGTCGGCTAACCCGGCGTTGGGGCCACAAGTTGGTCTTCAGTGCAGATGTCTGGGGAAGCCTGTTGAGCTGGTGGATAGAGGGAGGGCAAAGGCCCTGAGGGAGGAACAGGCTCGCTGCTCGTGAAAAACAGAAAGCCGCTGTGGTAGGCCGGGGTGCAGACTGCCGCTGCAGTCTGAGAAGTGGGAATGGGGGCGTCCACAGGGACGTGGTCGCTGAGGGCAAGGCGGGCAGGTGTGCCCAGCATGTTCGAATGCTGATCTGAGTGTGCTGGATGCTAAGGAGGGCGTGGAGCAGGGGAGGGGTTGCGGCCGTCCCTGTTTCATGGAGATGGCTCTGGCCAAGGGCAGCAGAATGGACCCGAGGGCGAGGAGAAGCAGGCAGACTGCGGTTCCGGAGCGAAGTTGTGGTGGGTGAGGACAGCAG